CTTCCTTTGTGAGTGAATAAGTTCATTTATCCTTCTTCACATCAGTTGTTGATATTTAAATTTCCGTTGTTTTTTTCCGGTTAGAAATTACTTTTTGTGATACCATATTCCCATATACCCATTTTTAGCTTGTGTCAGCTACCAAGGATCCTTTCACCAGAAAAAATGCAGACATAGATGGGTTTCAACGTCACTGTCATATTGCTTTTTTTTTAAGTGCAGTTTTGTCCCAACAAGAGATAAGGAATCATATCACTGTATAACGATTGCACGTGGACCGATCGCAATCACTGTTCCATGGTTTTCAAAATAATTTGCTGGCAACATTAGTTCCAATTGAGAACTAAAATTAAATGGTTCTTAAGTATGCAAAAATGTTAAATGCAAAAATATTATTGGTCCGTAGTGACAGTTTTTTATTATTTGTTAATTCATTTGCATTTGTGTAAAAGTTATCGGCATTCAATCTCGTTTCATTCATTCATTATTTGACACCATTTTGCTAAGAAAGTTTTTATATTAATTAATTAGCAATATTTCATATCGAAAGAAATAATATTTCTGCCAACCAAATTTTATGAGAATTCAAATACTCCATTTTCTGTTGATCTTCTGAACATAGCGCCATTTCTAATTTGGTTTGGTCCATTCACTACTAGAAAAATACCTTTCCGCTTAGAAATCAAATTGGTGATAGGCGTGAACATGTTAGTGAAGAGATATCTTTAATAGCAATTAATTATTATTCACTGCCAAAAGTTAAACTATAGTTGCCAGCAGCCAACAGTCACATTCAATGTGAATGTGCACGAGTTGGCTTGCTATTGAAACTGTTGAGGATATTATTATTTTATTATTAAAATAAAACTATTAAAATTTCAGTTAAAAAGAAATAATCAACAAAAATTTTTTTTTTTTGCATGAAATCCCAACAATAAAAAATTTCGTGGCCGAGGAAATTGCAAAAAATATTAGATAATCAAAAAGAAGCGCTGTCCTTCGCAGTCATCTAAAACTGTTATTACCATTTGACCTCGTAACTGCTTAGAATATTTCGTAAATTTGTATATCAAAAATGTAAATAAAAAACGACGTCAAGTACCATAAATCCAATTTTCTGCTTCTTCACAGGAGAAAAGTAAACCTGTCATTAAAATGAAAGCGGTGATTGATCCATCACCTGTATTCCATATTCCAGTATTCTATCCAAGAGTATTCCAATGAGAATCTCTGGCGATATCTTCGAAAACAGTAGGACCAGCCAAACCAGTAATGGTGAGAGCTGTTTTTTTAAAAAAAGCAAAGTGCAGGAATTGATCAGTGAAAAAGCAAAGTTCAAAAAGAATGCATAAATCCTTTTTTAAATAAGAATAATAATAAAAACGTACCGTTTTTAATTTGGCTGACATTTCCAGCCGACAGGATGAGTCTTCCTTCCCACACTAAACTCACTTTTGATCGAGCAATACACGTAATCCCCGCATTTAAAAAAGTTCCTAAATGAGGGAGTACGAAAAAATACTGAAGAAATAATAATATTTAGTTTATATTCGCAATTTGCAAACGTAATTTACGTCTGCAGGCATGTTTATATTGAATATTTTGCAACTATTTTGATTTTTGTTGACGATCATACCGTTATTTATTTAACCCCTCGAATTGATTTGTTTCGAAAGACCTAAGAGAAAATGTATACATTCCAAATATTATTCTTCTAGTAAAACATTTATCGTGCTACATACCGATGAAACCTTTCAATAAGGTCGATAATTACAATTTTCATATTCTATTTTATTCATTCTCTATTAAATGTGATCTTTTTCGCTTCAAATTTATGAAAAATAGAATTTTCTACAAAAAATTTAGAAAGAAATCCTCTTTTCACATCTTTTCACATCATTTTAACAACTTGTAGAAGAATTAATATGATAAGGAATTTTGCATTAAAAAATAATTTCGAAAATGATTTCTGAAGAATGAATGGATTTTCTTTTATAAGATTTCCTATTTCCTATTTCTGATAATTCCACGATTAATTCTGACAAGTTTAATTTAATTTTGCCAATATTTCATTTGATTTTTAGCGGGAAACTGGCGAAAGGATGGAAATTCCTTGTGCTGTCGAACATTCGTATTCCCTATTTATCATTCCAAGCAATATTTTCACAAATAGCGAAACACTGCAATCCCAATGAATTGTAAATTTCTTTTGGAATGAAAGCAAATCGGATGATACTCCCCAATTCACAAATATTAATCAAATGAACAATCCATAAAAATTGAGAAAATTTGGATGGGATCGCATTTATAAAAATTGAATGGAACTTGGACGATGACGAAAACTCGATTATTATTGTTTGATAGATTACTTACTTATGCTTACTTTTATAATTGCAGCTAGAGAAATTTGATGCATATTTTTTAAATTTGGAAAAAGTGGTTTCGCAAACATTGACACTCATATCACTCATTACATTACACCCTTTTTTATCCTAAGAGCGCTCACCATTTCTGGTTGAAACTCTTTCCGCTGGCAGGTAGTGAGAGAAAGAGGTGAGTCTCCAGCGTCCTCCGGATTGAAAGATGGGCTTAGTTCTTTCCGGAAGTGAAAAATCCCAGCATCGACGTTCCATTTCAAATCAATCGAAAACTTAATATTTTGAAAATATTTTTTAAACAAATTGCATCATTTTTGAAATTAAAAGTGAGAATATGAGGAATTAACTGGATGAAACGAGAAATTATATTTCTTACTTTAACTTTTTATCTTTTTTTATTTTTTTTTGGTATTTTTGCACGAAGAAATATTCATTCGCTTGTTTCATTTATTATGCATTATACACCACTCAATCGTTCATTCCATTTCTAATTTGTGTAATTTACCAAAGTTGTGGAAAGAAAAATTAGGTCGATTTTGTAATAGAATAGCATTTTAGAATGCGATTTACCCTCTGACTCCCATATTAATTTATTTTCTTCTGTAAAGTCGATTCGATTAGTACAAAACTGTTCAGTTTTTGAGGCCGAAACTTATCGTCTATCATTTCTTCATATTGCTATTTCTCATTTGGCTGAGAACCTTTCAACGTGGAGTTAATTTTAAATAGAGCCTGCAGTGCATTCACTTCACGTCTAATTGCAGATTTACTAGCAAATAGGAATCGAACCCTATGATCGTTCGACCTTAATAAAAGCAAAGTACAACTCGTTGCTCAGGTTCAATATCTAATTTTAGCAGCGGTAATCGTTCAAAAACCATTTTTAAAGCTTATAATTCCATAGCAGGAAATATATTTTACGATGACGAATGTAGAAAATATTTTTTAGTGATTCATTAAAATATTTTGGCGCACTGGTCGATTCTTTATCATTTTTGTCAGTTTCAGTTTTCGTGCTTATCATCTTAATAATGCTTATCATTTTATCAGCTAATATAATATTTCTTTGTTCGATTCATACTAATAATTTAACGTTTATTAATCATTGCTAATTCCTTTATTCCTCATTACTGGCCAATATTAATTTTTACTAAGAGTGCCCACCATTGCTGGTTAGGCTCGCTTCAGATTATCTAGTTTATTCCGTTAGATGAATTTTTAAGAAACCAAAGAGTTATTTGATAATAGAAGTAGAGGTGAGTCGTTAGCATCACCAGGATAGGTTCACTCCTACCTGAAATTGAATCTCACCATTGGCCCAGTATTAATTAAATTAATTGAACTGATTAACATAATTATTTATTATTGTTACAATTCATCATTTAACTTATTCATCATTTATAAATATTTGCCTAATTATTATAAAATTATATTTGTTAATGTTTACTATTTCCGGCTAGACTCGTTCCACAAGCTATTGCTGTAGCAGATTTTTACTAAGGGGTCGCTTGGGGAAAGAAGTACAGATGGGTCATCGGCACCATCTGGAACTACTGTATTATATTCATTTTATATCGTTGCAATACTGAATCATTATTCCTCCTATTTTTGGCTTTTTATGCATTTTTTTTAAATAGAATGTTTTAATAAAAAATTGTGGAAAAAAATTCTTCAAATTTCGTTTAATCATACAAAAAAATAACTGTAAAATTATCATTTTCATTTATCATTTTATCATTTAGCGGTTTATCAACATAGATGCAAGCCAATTATATTTTGTTGTGTTATATAATTTAATTTACATATTTTGACCAAAGCTAAAATAGCCTTTACAGATGGACGAAGCTATCGCCTAATTTCGGATTCTGTTATTTATTACTAATGAACAACTGGAGAAGAGATCTACTAGCCTCATCATTCCACTAATAACTTAATATTTCATAAATAAAATTTACGAAATTTCTAATTTTCCTCAGTTCGGGTTTTATTATTTATATTTCCCATTCGTTCTTCTTCTTGCTCTAACGGCATGCAATATTTCTAAATAATTTGGCCGATTTTATAAACTATTAGGATAGATAATGAAGAATGCTACCTAATAGCTATCCAGATTTCACTCGAGGAACACTTGGAGATAGCAATGCAGATTGGTACCTAGTAGCTATTCAAATCGCGCTTTTAATTTGTGTTCTTTTCCATATTTTCCTCAGCTCAAAGATTTTTAAAGTTTTTTGAATATTTATTTAAAAATTGTGGAACATTAATCATTCTCTTTGCTACAATGTTGACGAATAGCCATCATAAAATCCAAAAAAAAATTTCGAAATTTTCATCTTCTTTAACAAATTTTATTGAGGAAGATTTGGTTATTTGTAATTTAAATTTGAATTGTTAGTATATACAAAATAATCATCCATCGTTGAAGCAAACACCTAAAATTCTGTTTTTACTTTTTGTAATAATCAGTGAGTTAGTAATTTTAGTAGAGTTTGCTTCAACTGCTAAATTTTGCAAAAACCTTATAAAAACTTTATATTTCACTATTTACTTTTTACAAAATGCGAAAACCGATTATTAATTGTTTTAAAAAAGTAATATCGGCTACAAATAATTAAGTCTTAGATGTCTGTGGCAACTCTTTCCTCGCCAAGTTATGATATTCCTCAATTACCAATTGATTTTTCGTTACGACTGGAACCGTGGTACCATGGAATGATTACGAGAATTCGATCGGAGTCCCTTGTAACTTCAGAAGGTGACTTTCTGGTCAGTTTTTTTTATTTGAATTATTATCTATAATAATATTTATTCCCGATCGGGTGGAACGGAACGGAGTGGAAAATAAAAGTACTAAGTCAAGCTGATATATCTGTATTAACAATTGAACAATATTAACGATAATAAGGGTGCTGTTTATATTTGTATTTGCGAAAGTCTTGAAAAAAATTAAGAAAAATTGATTAATGATTAGAATTATTGTAATTATAATTAGGAACATAAGGCTTACATTGAGTTCTTAATTGCTTATTAATACGGTAAGAAATTTTTTTCGTCAGCCAGGAAATCATTTCGTGATAAACTCGTGGCCACAACGATTTTTCTTTTAAACTGAGGTAATTTAGCTACCATTGCTACTTAGGCTCGTTTCACCGGCTTATCGAACTAGGTTCTAAAAAACCTTAAGTAAAGGTAATTCGCCATCATCATCCGAATTTTTAAATAGATCACAGGAATAGATCAGTAGCATGGGCATTTCGAAATGGACAATTAAGCCATTATACCGTTTGCTCTCTCCATTTAATGGTATTTCCAAGTGATGAAGCGAGATGCACCGGATGGATTCCAACTCGAGTATTTCCGATTCCGGTTGGCTAACATCTTGCCACTAATTCAGTGACGCATCCAGCGACAATTTTATAATGAGACATAGCAGAACATCTGATGCTTCGTGCAGGTCAAACCACGTCCTTGAAGAAGAAATTCATGCACTTTATTGTTAACGGAAGTTTCAAAATTATTTCTTCGTCTGCTAATAGCGTATAAAATTTTGTTTTAGTGGGCTCTACTAATTATTACTGGGAACTTTATAAGTTTAACAATCATTTGGGATCATTTGGGACGTGGTAATTGCTTGAACATCACTTTTAAAAACAAGTTTATTCCTATTAAAAAACAGGGATATTTTTGAAATATTAGCGATAGTGACAGCACTGAACTACATTTTATGAGATTATATTGTCGAGTGAGCCTAATTTTTAGTAAAGCCAAATATAGGCAAGCAAGTAAGCAAGCAAGTGCTCATTAAACAAGCAAAAAGAGTAATGCTTATAATTTTATGTCCTCATGAATCCGTTCTAATGGTTATTTCCTCATAAACCACGAACTCTGGCGAATCTCTCTGGTGACATATCTGATAAAATGGGAATATCCGAAAATTATATCTTCATAACATTCATGATCAGTTTAAGGTTCGTGATAGTATATCTTCAAGAGGAGATTATGTATTGACAGTTTTTTGGAAAGGTCGAGCAGTTCACTTTCAAATTAATAAAACACCATCAGCTGCTAGCTCCACTTCATTCTTATTTCAAGTGAGTTTAAACTGATTAATCCTAGAAAAAATTACTTTACTGTAAACTTTATAAAATTATCAATTTGCCATACAATACGCAAAACCACTTCATCTTATCATTTTTTCGTTCCAATCGTAAGTGAAGCATTCCTGAATTTTTTATCAATAAGAAATTTTTCACGATCAATTCTTCTTCTTCTAAAAGGAAGCATTTCCTTTTCCGGTTTGTTAGACTTCAGTGATTAATAGCACCTGAGAACCTTTCAACAGATGGTTAGTTGGAAATCGTCATTTGAAAAAAGTATCCAGCAAATAAATCTCGAATGCTCACCCGAATTTTATTATCGATAGCAGATTTATCAAACGATAGGAATCGATGCAATTTATAAAACAAAACCTAGCTTTTCACCGATTATTTAACTGCATAAAATATTATTTTAGTTTGAAGATGAGCAGTTTGATACAATCTCAGATTTAATATTATTTTACCAAAGTCATCGCAAATCAATAACAATAAATAGCGGTTGTATTATTTCAAATCCAGTTCCAAATTCAATTATTATTAAGCCTTGTGAACCTCAACGAGAAATCGAGCAAAATTACATGAAATTATTTAAACCACAAGCTGGAATTTCAACGAAAAAAGGTTAATGCATATTTCTAAATTTTTTGGTTCGATTTTAAATCTCCCTTTTCTCTTTTTTTCAGTTTTATAAATTTTTTTCGCAAATTGCTATCGATTCTCTCAGGAATGGATCGGTCGTTAAGTCAACAGGTTTTACTGAATGAAGCGAGGAAGGCACAATTCACTAATTTTTCCAATTCTGGTCTCAAATCCAGCGATTATCATCGATTAATCGCTAAAGGATTACTAAATCGACCATTACCAATTCCACAAAAATCACCAATCGAAGAACAAGAAGGACAAGAAGATGTGAGTAGTTCCTGCATCACAATAGGAATAAGAGCATATATGGTGATGGCTTTTATATTATATTGGCCTCTTGGTTGAGGATTTGCCTGTTTGTCCTTTAAATTAAATCTCATTTAAGCCAACAGCAGTTATAATAATTAGCAATAATATTTAAGTATTGTGAGATGGATTATGATGCTATGGAAGGCACTTCGGAAGTAGTGGGCGAAGTACTGGATGCATCAAGTGATGACCTTACTCAACGACCTCAACATTTATCACTGTTATCATTAAATAGACTAAAGAAACACTCATCTTGTCATTTATTATCAAACGGCCTCTCTCAATCATGCCATAATATTCATGAACTACAATGGCGATTTCCTCGTACTGATTCGGCACCATCATTGCCCATTCGTAAAACAACAGCTCCGGTACGTGATAGTGGCTGTATTGCTGATACAACAGATTATGATTTACCATTTGGCTCAACAATAATGACAATTCATCCGAGTCAAATAGATCCAATCAATTACCACGCAATGTTTTTAGACGAAGATTTTAGTCATTCGACTGCTAATGACCTCTTATGCAAGTTCAAGTAATTTATTATTTTTTTGTTTTTCTAATATTTTTTATTTAAATACTATGTTTTTTAATTTCAGTCAAAACTGCCAATTTTGTGCCAAGAAGCATCATTTAAATAACTAGATTAGTACCACTTGAAGAATTAGACCAAAAGTTTGAGTGGAGGATAAAATGCCTATTATATGATTATTCAATTAGGCAATTTACCCTGTTTCTTTTTAAATTTTTTTGTTAAATATGAATAATTTTTGGTTAAAAATTTTAAATAATTTTTAATAAATTGTCTTAATTTTTAATAATTTTAATTTTAATCAGAAGAAAAAAATTCATTTAAAATTTTTTTAAAATAAAATTATTTATGTGGTTTATTTGTTATTATCGATAGTTTAATTTTTGTTATTTTCAATTTTATTGTTTCATTCATTTTTTTAAAGATTAAATCAAATAAAATTTTGTTTGAATTCATATTATGCTATAATATGTAATTTAATTAAGCGATTATCGCCTCGAGCATTAAGATTCACACTTTTGTCTCTGATGGGAATAAAATCTTTCATTAAAAAATCTAGATTATGGTACTGAATATGCACATTTCCATCCTCAAGTGAATCCTTGGCAAAAATTTTTAATGGTACTAAGAGTCAAGTGGAACCAGTTTAGCCAGAAATTATGACAGTTATTACAAATTACTTTTAAAGTGCATAGTGTCGAGAAAATAATGTAGAACATAAAATATAATTCCATAAATGAATGAATTGGTGAAAAAAAATGTTTGATATTTTTCCAAGTTATTTTATTTTTTTTATAGATTTTTATTATTAAATTCAACAGTCGAAAGAAGTTCGTATCTAATCCATTACGAAGACTGCAAATTACTTCGGCTTATTTCATTACATAAGGTATTTTTTATTTGAAAATATTTATTTTTTTTCAAATATTTTAAAAATAATGAATTTTCTCCTTTTAATAGCGCGTATCATCTGAGGATTGAGGCATCGATGGATGCATTGCCTGAGGGCAAACAGTTCTTCTAATTCCTTGGAAGGAATAAATTTCCTACAAGGAAATCTGAGTTTGGATCGAATTATCGCAAATTATTTCGTTATTAGTTCAGCCACTAATAAAATGTCGATAAAACATATCGACATTTTCAGATGCTCCAGAATTTTTTTACTTTATTATTGTGTTATTTCCATTAAATGATTGGTTTTTTCTCCTGCATCATCATTATAGTAGATTCTTCTGCCTTAGAGAAGATGGTAAAATCAACAGCTAATTAAAATTTTTATGACAGGTCAACTCCTATCAAATAGATTATTACAGTATTAAAAATTTTATTTGAATTTTATTATAATTGGTTGACGTCTTTTTCCCAACTTTTATATCATGGAAAGATATTTCCATGCAAAAAAATGAAATGAATTGAAATTTGACGAGAAATTTCAAGAAAATAAGTTTTACAGGTAGATAATCGGTTTGGTGGTCTTTCATTAATTTTATTGCCTCAAGGAAAAAATATTCGCGAGGATCTCATTGAAAGGTTGTCTTATAACGATTCTTCTTCATTCATTTATTTATCAACAATTTACCAAATTTAATCAGCGGCTAATGAAATTTAAATTAACAAATTTTTAAAAGCTTAAAAGGAAAAAGCTTAAGGAAATGCTTTGGTTCATCGAATCTTTCATTTGGGCTTTTAACATATTTTTCTTCTAACAACGCTTATGTTTGTCTTCATTGACAGTAGTAGAATGAAGTATTTTCATGGCCCCTTCATCAAAAAATCATTAAAGCATAGACGATGGACATTCTTCTATCACCCCAAAGGCTTTTAACATGTTATCAAATTATATTTGCTTTCTCTACATAAATAAATTCTAGAATTTAAGTTTTTAGAAATCTCTCACTTCATACTATTTGTGTTTTATCACTGAGGCACATTGATATATATGATAAGCACAACATTGTTTTTATGCGATGGATGGAAATCGCTCGATTTTTGCTCGATCATTTTGGCAATATTTTCTCATTCTTTTGTATAACAAATGCTTTAAACTCGATTGTGGTTAGTTTTAATTTTATAGAAACGACGAAGTTTCTAAAACCTTTAGGCGTAATTTATAAAATGAAAAGCTCGTATACTTCGATACAAAAAATTAATAGTACAATTTTTGGAATTTTTATAAGATGCAATCAGAAATAACCGAAAATTTCATTGCAGACCAATTCAAATTTTACATCGAACATCGATGCAAATATTTTACAAATTTTTAAATATAAACTTATGCCAATCGCTGATAAAATTCGTGAAACTGATATCGAAACAAGCGAATCCGCTACCGTTGTCATACCATTTTTGCAGCCTCTTCTGGACTTATTTTCCAACGTGCCAACTTCTAATTTTCTTGGCGGTGGCTCGTTATCCGCACAGATTGGTATTATTTAATAAATGCTAAACACCAAATTAGATCGTAAGAGTCATATTATCAAAATAAGCTCACAAAGTGAGACTCAAATTGCAGATAGTTTGTGGAAATGGCTGGATATGGGTCGACAATGGTCAAAGTTGGCTGTTCATTATGCATATCATGCTAGGAAACAGTGCCGCGAAGATATCCAAATAGCTGAAAATTTCTTTTCTACTGAATTTCTATTGATATGTATATTTGCTGGAAAAGATTGGAAATCGTTAGCCGAGAAAAGACATGAAAATTTTTCTGAATATATAAATTTTTTAAAAAATTTATCAATTGACGTATAATTTTTTTTTATTCTTTTATCATTTGACTTGTATAAGTGTGAAAAAAAATCTACTAAATTAAATTTTGTAAAAAAGATAAGATCAATTACTCGTTATGTTCTCTCTTATCTTATCACTGATAAATAAGCAGTTGGCACTCACCATTATTTATTGCTTACAGATGAAAATGTCGACCAATTTCGCGTCCTCTACCAGATATCTAAGAAATTTAAGAAAGCTTAGTCAAGTCAGCGTTAGGAAGTCTTTGCCTTAGGACCTCATATGGAAATATAGGGCCTATCTTACGTCTCATATGCCCTATAATAATAATTGAAGTGATAATAGGCAAAAAAGACTTCGTCCATCGTCTGTATATAGGACTCTATTGCAGAAAATATTTTTAGTTATTTCCTCATTCATTAGACGATATTTAATATTTTTTGGTTATTATCGAAAGCGATTTTCAATTAGACGCAAATGAGGACTTCAATTCGAAATTAATTTAAAACTGAAATATTAATTTTGAAGAATTGGTTATTAGTTGTGGAAAATTTGGTAAGACAAAATGTAAATGTAATTGAACTAATCGAATTTATAATATTTCATAATATTTCTGCCCATTGATAAGCCCACTGATAAGGGTAATAAACGTGTCATTAAAATCACTGAAATCGAAGCGACCACAAGGAACTTAAGAATTTCTATTATTTTTTATAAAAATAATATTTATATTTTTCTATTTATATTCTTTATGAAAAGGCTTAGGCTTAGCAAAGTAATTACTATCAGCCAAACGAGAAATGCTTTGAGAAAAAAGAATTTTTGTGCAAATATTTATTTATATATTATTATTTGCATCTGAAGACTTTCTTATATTGTTGAATTTACGATATATCGGCGAAATTATCATATCTCGAATTTTTTATTTCGGCTTTTTATTTGCATAATTTTATGAACGATAATTGATTGGAATCGGGAATCGCAAATTACTAAAACTTCAGAAGGGTTCATTAACCAAATTGAACAAGTAATTTTAAGATCCTACGGTGATTCACCATACTAATGAGCTAAAGAGGCCAGAATTGAGACCGAAGGAAATCCTTTAGGAAGCCAAAGCCGAAACCTATAAAAAACATCTAAGTCGAAGGTCATTGTAGAGGAAAACATAGAAAATTATAGGATTTGAAATAAATAAAATCAAATTTCATTTTAATAATAGAGATTGAAACAACAAATCACATGTTTTCGTTTTTTAAATAAATAAATTTTTAAGTAAAGGAATGTTTTTCAATATTATTTTTTAATAGTCAACGAACAAACATATGTCAAGCAAAACGTTTTGGAAATGTCGGAACAAAAAAAAACGACCTTAAATCCGTCTAATGGCACGGGGTTGTTGCTCTTAATTCAGAGTACCAACGGTGGGGTTCCATTCCAGGCAGGAATAAATCTGCTTTTTAAAAATCAGAAGTGATGTTAGTAACCCATTCATATTTCTACTTTTATCACAAAATGATGAAATTTGGTCTGACCAGCTAGTGGAGTGAGCCTAAGTAACCTGAACCTGAGTCTAACTAAAAATAGGGGGCGTTTTTAGAAAAAAGAAAGCAGTAGAATAAACTTCGCTGATCAAATCTCCTTGTGAATCTTACAATCTTATAATATATCAATGATATTTCCGACAGCCATAAAGGACTATTGAAATCAACGCTGTATAATTGTGACAGCTGGCATAACATTAAGAGTTAATCGAATTTTCAGCGCTCGTATGGCACATCGAAAGAAGCCAATATGAAGATTTTAGCCAAAAGTTTATCGGAAAACTTGAAAAGTTGAAAACCTGAAAAGTTTACTGCCTATTCTAATGTTCTGGATTTTGAGACGTACACTAAAGAATTCAGCCATATCAGCATAAACTCTCTGAAATTGTTTCAACATGTACTATTTCTTATTGAATTCCACTAGCAGTACTTTTAATGACAGCCTTATTTCGATACTCGATTTTCTTGCAAATTTTTTGTTTTTACAAAACAAGAAAACTTCGAATTCAGTGCGACTTTTAGTTTCGAAAGCACTTTTCTTCGCTTAAAATCGCCAAATATGGTACCAAAATCGGAACCGAAGGACCAAAGACTTCGATTCAACTCTAAGACATAAATCAGTGTTAACGTGTTATCATTTTTCAAAAAAAAAAAACATGAAATCGAACACCACTTATTTGATATTTTCGAAAATATATTTTTATCTATAATGCGAAAAAAAGAGAAAAACAAACAAAGAATACAAAAATTTGTATTCTTCAATATTTATTTTTAATATTGAAAAGAAAACCTTTGAAGCAAACTAGTTAGTTCCTTTTTCATTCCATAATTTTCCAATATTTTTTAAAAAGGTTTTATAAAAATATTTGAAAAATACCTCCAATAATCGACAATCGAATTTTCAATATTATTCATTTACTATTTTTTACTACTTTATACAATAAATGTTTACTTACTTATTTATATCGCAGGCAACTGATAATTCTGGTTTATCCGAGTTGTTTACCACACAGCTGTATTATACAAAAACAAAATTATTTTAACTATTCCAAATATTTTATTTTTATAATAAAAAAATTAATACTTTTTATTTCCCCAATAAAAAAATATTTTTTATTTCTAAAATTATTAAGAAAAAGTTTTGTTGTTTTGAAATTGTGGAAAAAAAATGGCATTTTCGACTTGTTTTATTGTAATTTTTTTCGAAAATATTTTATCTTTTAATTTTTAATACTTAAATTTTTAATTATTTAACTTATAAATTATTAGTTGTAAAAACCTTTTTAAATTGGCAATAATAATAATAATAATAATAATAATAATAATAATAATAATAATAGCACTAATAATTACAATAGTAATAATATTGATTTATTCAATTATAAAAATAAAATCAGATTAATTAAGATTTCTTATAAAATCTTATATAGTCGCATTTCGTAAATTTTATAATCTCACTTTAAATTCAACTGTTACCAGCACTAAAAGATTGAAATCACCGGAACAGCCGATCTAGAGAGCTCAGTTAAAAAGACTTTTCGTATCTTCGAAAGAAACTAACCATGTATTTATATAACTTTTGAAACAAGGACAAATCAGTATTATCAGTATATTATCAGTAAAATATTATCAACACTATCAATATTTTGCAATATTTATAATAGGTTAATAGTATAATTATATTTCATTATTCCTATACTCATTTATATTTACTTTCATCATTTCTGATATATTCCCTTTGCTAATTGTTTCGATATAAATCAACGATAATTAATCTTCCATAACTTTTTTTGAAACGTGAAGATGGATAAGACGAATCTCTATTGCTAGTCGATCGCATTTCATGTTTAAGAACAAGGTTTGTCAAAGAACCGCAAAACTCGGTTTTAGCCTTCGAAACAAACGAAGGAAATTTACAAATTTGCATAAATTGTATATTATCAGCATAATCAGATAATACTGATAATAAAAGGATAAGAATTTTTGTAATAATTCCCTTTAATTCATCAAATTCTTTTTTTAAAGCCTAAATTTTGATTTCAATTTTTGAATCCAATTTTTTTAAATCATTAAAAATTTTTTTCAAATTCAAATTCAAAATTTTATTTTAAAATTTATTTTTAATTTTTTAACTTCAATTTTTTTATTTTTTCAAAAATTATTTTCCACAGAAAAAATGATTTCGTCCAGTGGCTTTTTTTTCTCCTTTCGGTTGTAAAAATTATTGTCGATGAGGAAAATATAAAAATTTAAATTTAAATTTAAGTTTAAATTTAAGCCAACAACTAAGCCAATAAATAGAGTGAATAATACAAATTTTGTTAATGCTTAACAAATTTTCGGAAAAATTTTTATAACCAAAGGAACAAAGAACTATTTTTCATTTATTAGAAGTTTTTTCTTAAAAAAATCTGGACTTGCTGTGATTTGCTTCACTGGCAATGTCGGAGAAGAGAGAGAGAATTTTTGCTCAGGCGACATTTGGAGAGAGAAATACCAGTGGATCACCAGAAGCGTCCTTTTTGGGATGTGGGACCCCAGCATCGGTGCTCAGAAACAAGACTAACGACCCACTGAGTTATTCCACCCACCCCTCGCCCCCCCCCCCCCCCCCCCCCCCCCCCCCCAACCTCCCTTATCTTATTTACTAGAATTATTGGTTGAAATCAGTTTAGTGTTATATAGTGTTTCTATAATTGTCTTGTTATTTTCATCTGTTAATCTCTTATTTCAATGAGACGATTTAATATTTTTCATTTTCTGGAAACCTTAGTAATTTCTCGGTTAGGAAGCCACATGCGGTTTCCTTTACGACTTTTTCAATTATTACAACATTTAATCGCAACAGCTATAGTTGTTTTTTAAAAAACAACTCCGAGGAGCACTCCGCTTCTTCTAAGAGCATTTTCGATTTAGCTGGCTCCACTAATTAGTTACCAGAGAGGTACCACAATGGGTGCTCAGTGCCATTCCGATTTCACTTTTAATGGCAGATTTATTGGTACCGTCTAGAAATCCATGTTGAACGACATTGTCTGGGGCAGCATAACAATCGACTATACTGCTAAGGCGAAATTTTAAATGGTTTCAAAGAAATATAGCAGGCCTTGAGAGAGTTTTAAGGAATAATAGAAGAGACGGAGTTCAACATGTTAGCACAGTACTGAAAGTCTATAAAGGAAGCGCGATGAGAGCGATCTCACAGTTTATGGCTCTCGGACACAACCCTAGTTCGGATCATCCCAGACTTTGTCTTTTCTATCCCAGACGGTGCTAACAGAGTCCATCTGTACGCACTACCAGTGGTCCCTGTGGAACCTATCTAAACCAGAAATGGACTATGACGATTTAAATTAATTAAGCCTTTTTTTTAAAAGCCAATAAAATTTATATTCCCTTGCGACAAATGTCGCCAAATGAAAACACTGAATTAATTAATTTTCAATTCAAAATTTAAGTTTGAAATTTCCAACTCAAGTTTTAGGCTCAAATTTGAATTTGGACTTGGACCCTGAGCTTGGACCCTTCAAGTTGAGAATTGGCTCTTGGCTCCTCGATTATAGCCTTGAAGCCAAGCCCAGGAAGCCTAGGACCTCGGCCCGAGGCAAGACTGACCCCTCGACACGAATTTGACCTTTCAACCTGAATTTTATGACTGGAACAATTCTTAAATGGAAATAATAGATACAAATCCCATAAAAAATGAAAGTGAGAGTGGAATCTCGAAAAGTAGACATAATCTCTCGTCATTGCTCTCGTTGTCGAATTCTCTTAAGCACGCGTACTCTTTAATTATCCCACTCGTTGTTCAGACAATCAATAGTAAATAAGCAAGCAAAACCCTTTAGCAAAGACTGACAATTAGCACCGCCTTTCTCCATTATCCGTTTCAACATATTTATGCATACATCGCTCTCTATGGTTCCATGATTTTTTATCATTTAATCACTTTTTTTTATCACTTTGGCGCTTTCCCACACTGCTGTCCTGATTTCTTATCACCTTAATGCTTTATCATCTTATCGTATTATCTTGTTTCCACCTTGTTATCTCATTTCTTTATCGCTTTATTGCTTCACTTAACTTTTTAATCCTTTGTTATTGCCATTTTATCGTTTTATCTCTCATCTCTTTTCCTTATCATCTTATTGTCTTGCTTATCCTCTTATCATTTTGTCTTTTTACTTTACTTTCTTATCTCTGTCTTATTTTATTTTCATCGTTTACTGCTATACTCCCTGTTTATCGTATATCATCTTATCACCTTATTGCCAAATTTCCTTCCTAACACTGTTTTACTTTATTTTCTTATCGTTATTCACTTATCTTTTCCTGTTATCATCGTATTTTATCAGCTTTTTGCCGTATTCTTCCTTGTCATGTTATCACCTTGTTAACTCATCATCTTGTTGACATATTGCTTTGAAATCACCGTTCATATTTGTTTTGTTGGCCATTCATCGTCTGAAGATTTTTGTTTTTGATAATATAAACATTTGCACATTCAGTTCATATTTAATAGTTTTTATTTCATTGCAATGAAAAATTTGATAAATTTACTGATAAACTGATCATTATCATAAATCATTCAATTTGATTTCAGGTTGTAATCTAGGCGATTTATTTTTATTATTTTTATTTATAATAAAATTAAACGGGTAGGAAACAGATTTATCAATTCATATTTATCAGTGGGCGAAACATAAATAAATGTTTGTCGTAACGATATTTACGTTTTTATCGATAATTATCGGTAACTTTGTAAGTTCTCAACAACGACAGCAGAAATGTGTTATGCGAGGTGTCTGTGGTTTACGCGGTCAAATGAACCAAAATTGTTTATATAACGGAAATGCTTTACCTATAAATGACGATAGTAAACGTTTTACGTTAAAACATCTTTGCCCACATCTTTTTCAAGGTTATCATTTCTTCTTTGAAATTTTTATTCTTTAATGAATTTCTTTTATTCTCAAACTTTGTGTCTATTTTTCACTTTATAAAGAGAGAAAGGCCAATGAAAAGGCGATTCCGGTTTTGGTGAATGTCAATCAGTCATCCTAAAGCCTATCAACGTGTTTATGTAAAGTAGCATAACACGATAAATGGTGAAAGGTTATATATAAGGTTAAAGTATAGTATGTGGGGTCAGCGCTTATCAGAATAGACTCGAGTAATTATCAGTGTTTATGGCTGTTTTGATGATTTTTTATTTTGATGAAGAACGGCACCGCCAATTGTTTTCAAAAGAATTACACAATTTTCTCAATGATTTTTAGTTTTTATGCAATTTTAGAAGAAAAAAAGGATGGGAAAAAAATTCTATGATGTTTGATATTATCAGATAAGGAATAGATAAGGTTAAACTCACATTATCTCGAGGTTAGTAGAGTTTAGGAATGAAGGCTCACATTTTAATTCTTTATGTTTAAGCCCTTTACTTATATTTTCAGTTTTCTTAGTGATATCGACCTGTCATCGCAAATAAAATAACTTCGAATTAAATGAATTTCCTTTCTTTAAGATGGCAATGAAAATTTTTGTTGTGATTCTGATCAGATATCCAATTTGGATGGTCAACTCACATTACCTCGACAGCTTTTAGCTCGTTGTCCAAGTTGTTTAACAAATTTTCTTCAACTCTGGTGTGATTTCACTTGTTCACCTTATCAGAGTGATTTTGTTAACGTCTTATCAGTTGCTAATGATCAGTTTTCAATGTTTGTTTCAGAAAATTTACTGGTTTTTTTTTGATGAATTTGTTTTTGCTCCACCAATATTTATTTATGGTTTGACTAGTTGCTATGATTATTAAGATTTGACTAGAGAATCAGTTAGTGAAGTGTACAGATTAATCCTAAGCTAGCGAATTCTAAAACTTACAACGGGGTTTTTTTGTGGAATGAATTTAATGAATAATGGAATGCTTCTTCCACAATTATTCATTTGGGAGAAATTTTCTAATTTGGTGTATTTCATTATCTCATTAAAACTTCAAATTCAATTCAATAGTTGCATCCTTTTTGAACGGAAGCATTTACGAAGACAACGAAAATGCTATTGGCATCGTAGCCCTGCAATAAATGTCCTTATAGACAAAATATAGCTCGTTAGCCCTTACTAGTAGCCTTAGCTGAAATTCATAAAATATTTTCTGTACTTTTTTTTGAATTTTGAAGAATTTAAATTTTGATTAATTTTAGAAGAAATAAAAGCCAATATATCACCGAAGTTGAATATTATATAAGAAAAGATTATGCAGATGGGTTATTTGAATCGTGTAAAGATGTGAATTTTACTTTTTACCTCGCTTCTTATTTATGGAAAAGTTAGAAAATGATGGTTTGCAGAAGAAAAATGTCTAATCATTTATGGCTATCTTTCTTTTGAAGTCAATAATTTTTAATTTTCACAGATTTTAATAGGAAAATTTTTTATAGGTGAAAGCAATTGGATCGGACAATGCTTTAAGTTTGATGTGTGGAGTCCGTTTTGAAGATTGTAATATTTCGCAATGGTTGCGGTTTATGGGTACATATAATGAAGATATTGGTGTTCCATTTACCATCAGTTTTCAAACTGAAGAAAATTCTAACTTTTCTGCGCCACCTACTCGTATATACTCTTGTAACGAATCAGTGGGTAAGGGGAAATTGTCGTGCTCTTGTCAAGATTGTCAGAAGGCATGTCGTGCCGAATCGGACTATCCATTCATTGTGCAGGTTCTTTTCTTTAATTTTCGATGCATTTTCATGGGAATCATGGAATCTAAATGAATATAAGAAGGAATTCGTATTTTTATGGAACTGAGAAAAAGCTATAAAATTTTTTCATAAAATTGCATTTCTAGGAAAAGTGTCGCATAGCCTCAGTCGATTGTATGTTAATTTTGTCGATCGTTGCGTTTAGTGGTCTTTGTTTTGCGGTGCTCTTCTTCGCGGCTGTGAATTATTGCCTAAAACGAGGACCTGAAGCTGATTTAAGTGATTTCAAACCTGCTGCTGGTACTTTGAATGACGAAGACTTGAATACTATCGAGAATTTTGGATCTTGGATAGAATCTCAGTTAGAACTGGTTTGTGCATATTATGGTGAAGTAAGTTTATAATTTATCACTTTTTATTGTTTTATGTATTTTTTTTGTGACGATAAATCATTTACCATTAGTTTTCTTGCAAGTTTGATGAATGGTGTGAAGTTGATTGAGGATTTGTTTCATCCATCTATTTATAATGATTTTTTTAATATTTTTTGTTCTTCGAATTTATTGAACCTTATTTTGCTTCGGCGAAGTAAACAATTTAGTTTTGGTTCCGACCTCTTTGTAGATGAGACCCATAAAATCTGAGTGGATGCTCATTTTTATGTTTGTTCGTAAGTGGAATGACTTTCTGGAGAGTGGATTCTTACAAAATTTTATTTTAGTTTGTTGCTAGACGGCCTTTAACGGTGTTATGTTTTGGATTGTTGGTTGCATTAATTTGCTCATCTGGAATGTTCTTTGTACGTTTCACAACGGACCCAGTAGAACTATGGTCGTCAAAAGGAAGTCGTGGAAGAATCGAAAAATATTTCTTTGACTCGAAATTTGGGTTTGTTTTTTGGACGCAATTTTGATTTGGTTCGAGGTTAGCGACTTATACGATTTATTATCTATAAATGGGTTTAAAGTACGGGATTTGATTTCTAATGATTATCCACTTTACATTTATTAAAAATCTCGCAATATCGGATTAAAAGCCCATCGATGAATTGTGATTTTTGATTTCAAATTAGATTATTTTCACGATTTTCTATTATTCAAGGTTGGTGATATTTGTCTTCGATCACAAGGTCATTAAATTTATTCCTATTAAAACTGTAGTGAATGCCAATAATAATTTACGGAATTGATTTTAATTTCGGAAAATCTTGATGATTTAAGATGATGTGGGAGAAAAGGCTCGCATATTCTTATATTTGTTCGAATTATTATGATCCTAAAAAATAAAAATATTAAGCGAAACTTTTTTCAGGCCATTCTATAGGACTGAGCAGATTATAATTTATCCAAGAGATCAAACCTTTTGGTTGCATGAAAATCGATCAAATATATTTGTGGATGGATATTATGGACCAGCATTTCGAAAGTCATTTCTTGAAGATGTAAATTCATTGAAATTTTTCATTCTTGTCAATAAGAGTAAGCAAATGACGTTTGCTCTTTACTTGATTTTTACTTGAAGCTAATAAAATGGCGAACATCCTCTTAAATTAGAATGAGTATTTCAAGTGGACTACCGGCAACGAACGAGATATCATGTTCAACAACAACAACAGAAATGTCCATCCAATTAAACTGGTTGCAATATATATTTATCCGGCAAATCTCATTTTATTCGGTTAATCCGGTTATTTTTGAGGAAAAATATTTGAAAAAAATTTAAGGTGGCCAAGCTGCAAAATGCTGTCACTGAACTAATATCAATTCGAGAAAATGGTCAAACAATCACTTTAAAAGATGTTTGCTATAAACCACTAGCCCCAGATAATCATAATTGCGCAATTATCACCATCCTCAATTATTTTCAAGTAATTTAAGCTAATTTTACTCAAGCAGGAAGAACTTTGTTTTTTTAGGTAATCTATGTTTATATGTAAGGAACATATCCTTGAAAAATTATCATGGTTGAAAGGCATCGTAAAAACTGATAAAACGAATCAGTATTCTATTTAGGTTTATTTTCTAAAAAATACTTCTCAACTATGAGAAACTGAGAATTTTTTTTGATAATTCTTTCGATAATGATTTCTTGATTTATTGACGAAATATTGAATTCTTTTGTGAATTCTGCAATCCTTCTTTTAAAAAATTCTTGAGAATATAGTAAAATAACCTATTTCATCCTATTTCATTAAAATTTTTGTTCACTGTTTCGCAATGGTAATAGTGTTGTGTAAACTACCGAGGTGGAGTTAGTCTGCAGGCATACCAAATAGGAAGATTTAACACACCAAATTATGAAGTATAGCATACTGGATGAGTGTGATTGACCTATGTTTGTTAGTAAAAGTGTAATTCATAATTTGATTGACCATATATTACGATAAAATGAAAAAAGGAAACCAGGTAGTCAATAGCTCTTTGATTTTAAATAAAGTTTTGTTTTTTCTGGAAATATTGAATTTTTTTTTTAGAACGATGCTTCAAAGCTAAATCATACAAATGCAGTTAGCAATGAAGATGAATGGGTCATTTCAAGATATGATTATCTTGATCATATAATGAGTTGCGTTAAGTATGTTTTTTTAATATTTTTAATGTTTGAAGTATTTCCTTTTGCTAAATACCTCTTTTATTTATTTCTATCCACTGCTTGTATTTTTGTTCTACTTTATATTTTAATTATTAAAGTCGAGTTGAATTATTCAGCCTTAATTTTTCCTTGTATATTCTTCAGTAATTGTAGTCTTTTCATCTTCAGAAAATAAGCAAAAGGAAAGTTTGCTTCAGAAGAATATAAATGAAATAAATAGAAGTAAATGATAAGATGATTATGCTTATGACTTTAAATATCTTGGATCCACTATAATCCTAAATAACCTAGCAAAAGACGAAATTACAATCCGGATAATGATAGCTGGAAATGCACCCAAGGTTAAGGAAACTTTTATGGAGCCGCTGCTAAATCACCTTGAAAACGAAAATCTGCATAGGTACATAGCTGCGATTTGCTTGATCATCCTATATGACTGCGAGACATGATCGATGAAAGTGGAACGATTAAGAAGTTATCTCCCTTTGACCATTCATGACTAAGGTGCATTTTATGGGTACACCGAGCAGATAAAACCTCACATCTCACATGATTTTATCCATCTTCGCTCATATACCACTTACATTAATACTACCATCACAGCACGCCTTCTCTGGTTAGGTGCACGTTCTTTGTCGTCTAACAGAGGGGATGACATATGTTTCGCTACTTGACGTCAGAAACGAGGAAGACCAATTAAAACCGGGACTTATACAATCAGGAAAGATTTTGAATATAGGAGGAGCAGCGATATATGGATTTAGACGATGGAAAAAGGAATGGTTTCTATTATTATTAGCGATGACATCGGACTGAACAGCTTGAAAATGTCTTATCTTATAGCCGTCGGAACCAGTGTAACCAGTAATAATGAGAACTATTAGAAGAATAAGGTTGCTGCTTATGAGGATTCGCTCGATATTCGAAAATTGTAGCTTAAAAAGCTTTCAGTTTTTGGTTGCCACAGTTATCATTTACAATGATAATAGCTGATAAACTTTCGAAAGAATAAATGTTAATATTACTCATTTTTTCTTGCTTATTTCTTAATATATTTTATTCTGTTGTAGAAATCCTTATTCGGTTAGCACAAAATTCGGTCTTTCTTGTCTATCAGCGTTCGGTGGACCGATTCAACCATATGTTGTACTGGGCCATTTTAATGGGACGAATCAATGGGATAGCGCTCGAGGAGTGGTTATCAATATATTGCTTAATAATTACCTCGATCTTGCCGATAATGCTCGAGCAATCGCTTGGGAAAAAGAGTTAGCTATTTTTCAAAACGCATTCTTATAAATTTAAATTTGTGGCAATAAACTTCTAGAAAATAGGCTTAAATTAAAATGCATGTCTTTTGCCGTATTTCATTTTCTGAAATCAATTTTTTTCACTCATACAGTTTAGATCAGTAATTCTTTTAATAAAGCAAAAGTCAGCGAAACTTTTTTTTCGTTTTAGAAATTTTTTTAAGACCAAATCTAATGAAACTTATTAAAAATTATTTGTAATTTTATTATTTTTTCAGATTTATAAAATATCTGCGAAATATATCTCATGAAAATTACACAATATCGTTTATGGCAGAGAGATCGATTCAGGTACCTAAGTATTCGAGAAAATTTTAATACGATTCACTACTTTAGAAATTTGAATTACGTATTACTTCAACTGAGTGAAACTGATTCGTATACATTGGCAGAAGTTAATCTGTAATGAAATTAGTGTCTTTTAGGGACCATCTCTATTTCTACGAAAGTTCATAGACAGTAGAGTAGAAATTAGAAACGATAGGCGCTTTTAGTGGAAAAAAAGGATTCAATGTTATTGTTTGGAAAATACGGAGAAAAATTCTGCATGCTCAAAATACCATCTTTGAATTTTGGAATTTAGAATTTGTTTTATTTTTCACGAATCAAGAGTTGATTTTATTCGATTTTTTTATTTATTATTTATTTGTTTTACAATTAAAGATAAATATATTGCATTTATCGTGCATTTAATAATTTTAGGATGAGATCGATAGAGAAAGCCAATCTGATATCTTTACGATTCTCATAAGCTATATGTTTATGTTTGGCTATATTGCATTTGCACTTGGACAGTACCAGGTTATATAAATATTGATTAAAGTGCTTATAAATTCATAGATATCGCCTTCATTATCTTCCCAGTCATTTTTTTCCAATATTTCTTGTTTATTAATTTGTTTTTGCGAAGTGCTTTTTTAATTGGCTGTAAATTACTGATTTCAGGTTACGGGAAATAATTTATTTTCCTTATTAATACATTCGAAAATTATGCTTGGTGTTGCTGGTGTTCTTATTGTTGCATTATCGGTAACATCGTCTATAGGTCTTTATGCATTTTATGGTATACCAGCCACTATGATTATTCTTGAAGTTCAACCATTTCTCGTTTTAGCAGTCGGAGTTGATAATATTTTTATTTTTGTTCAAGCATATCAGGTTTGTATCAGTTTTTTTCGGCAAGATTTCTAATTTCTAGGCAAATTCAGCGTTAGATTAAATAGTTCTTTCATTCTCACATACAATGAGTGTTACTTCTTCTAACAGCCCTCGCCATTACTGGTTAGGCTGGCTCTGTTGGCTACACAAGGGTACTTATAAGATTAAAATCTCCAAAATATTACAGTCTGTCTCATAGAATGTTTATAATATTCTTAATCATATGAATCTTTCTTTTTGGATAATATATTTTTTTCTAGCGTGCGGAAGCTTCAATTTCTGAACCACTTTATATAAGAATGTCTAAAATTAGTGGAGAAATATTACCATCAATGTTATTGTCATCGCTTTCAGAATGTTTATGTTTCTTCCTCGGAGCATTGTCTTCTATGCCAGCTGTAAAGGTATTATTAGCTGTCTTTAAATAGTTTGTGAATTGACAAAGTTTTGTGTTATGAGATAACTATATCATTTTATTCATGAATATTCATGAAATCGAAATGGTATTCTGTATTTTCCCGACTCTTTGCCAAGGGTCTAATCAATGGCTCTAGTGGAGCCAGCCATTCAGCGGTGCCATTATTCAGAGGAAATCATAGCTTATTGAATTCATTCCCCTTTCTTGCTTTTGGTATAAATTATCAGTTATTAGATAAGGTTTCTTTTGGTGCTAGAATGGGTATTAAAAGGGTATTATAGAGGTCAATTGATGCGTTATCATCATTGATAATATTTTTATTTTCAATAGAAAAAATGCAAAAATGCAAAAAAATGCAGAACAATTTTTTTTATCACGGTCATGTCATTTAAATTGGTTGTATTTCAGGTCTTCTCATTATATGCTGCATTAGCCATATTTTTCAACTTCTTTTTGCAAATAACATGTTTTTTTGCGATTTTCATCTTTGATTTACATCGTGAAGAGGTTTGACTTTTTCTCGATTAATAATCGAATAAAACTGGTAAAAATGCCCATTTAAATGTTTTTTCATTTTTCTTCCTTGCAGTTAATCGACTTATTTCTTGGTTTATAACTTGAATTTTAACTTTTATTTCCGTTTGAATTTTAAATTTTTATTCTTGACTTTCTGATCACTTATGGAATTAGTTTTTTCTCTTTTTTTTGGAGACCCCTAAAGTCTCTCCAGTTTTATGCTCATTTTTGAGAGATTATAACTTCAATATTTTGGAGATTAATATTTTTAACCAAAATTAAATATTTTTACCAAAGTTAACCGGAAAGAGTGGAAATCTTTGGAGAAAGATCTAGGAAATATGGTGATGTGTCGATATATGACTGAACAAATTTTCGCATGCGACGTGTACGCTTGTTATGCTTCATACAGAATCTTTGATCATCTTGGAACTTGCAGTTTTTGATGGAATATTTCCAATTCAATACTGCGTAGAACTATTATATTTGCTGCATCAGTTTGGCAGGAAGCAAGCCCTGAGTCTTCTTTGAATAGATGTAGATTGAGAAGTTGATTTTATTTGGCCACTGCCTCGACTTTTCCCTATTATACCGTTTTCATCATAAATGAACATATGCTGCAGAAAATGCTTATTGTCGTATTAGCAGTGAATACATATTCATAAACAATGTTCATGGTGATGGCGAACATCTCTTCATCGTTAAAGTATTCATCTTGCAATTTATTTACCATTCACGGTCGCATGCTGATGATTACATTCTTTGATATTGCGTCAGACCTTCACAGATCATTCTGCGATTAGCCCTCCACTATTTCCTTCAGAGATTTGTTAGTAGAATTTAAATCGATTTGACATTGTAGAAGGAAATCGCTTAACATAACCGAACTTAAATATTTTTTTTGCTATGAGGAGGCCATGGTGAGCAGAGGAGCAAAAAACACATATGTGGCACATCAAGCAATTCGGCATAGCAGAAATACATCCCCTAAAGCTAGACAAGAACTTTTAGAGCTTTTAGGATGACTCAGTGAAATAAAAAATACTGCTTATGAAAAAATGAAGCTTGGCATATCCAGGAACCAAAATTTGACCAAGTTTTATCATAGAGTTTGTCAATTTCTTTAAGTTTCAGCTTTGCAACCATACTTCCCCCGGAACCGAAAAACTTTCGTTTCCGGTAAGCTGCCCGTCAAGGCGTAATTACCACTGACGGAACGCTAGTTGGTATCGTTTACGGTCAGAACTAGGTTTATCAAACATTCAATAAGCAAGAAAATGATGAATCAGTCATTTATTTATAATGCGGTAAATTTATTTGTAATGCTTCGCTTTGTAGGATGGTCGACCAGAATTATGCTGTTGTAAACAGTTACCATCAGAACCAATCAGCAATGATGGATATCTTTTGCATTTTTTTAGCGATTATTATGCGCCTTTCCTACTTTCGAAGCATATTCGAATAGTTGTGGTAAATTTTGTTTTATCAAAAAAAATAAGATATGATTCTCTGTTGGGATGTGGGAAATAAAATGTTATATATGGTGGAAGTTGATTAAAAACAGTATTATCAAAAAGAAAATTACAATTAAAATTATTTCTATCTAGAGAAATTTTTTTGCAGGTTTAAAAATTTGAATATTGATCTATATTGATCTAATATAATTATAGATCTTCGTTTTTTCTGCTTGGCTGTGCTCATCAATGGCTGTAATTAGTGGTTTACAACTTGGATTAGATCAGAAAATGGCAGTTCCAGAGGTGACAGTTCATAAAATAATTTCATAATCAAATATTTATGTATTGCAATTCTAAGATACCATTTTCATATATTAACGGATTTTAATCACATGATTTGTTTGATTGGTGTGATAATTCTTGTCTAGCTTTTTAATTAGAGGTAATGCTAATCTAAATGAAGTTGCTTTATTTGAAATAAGTATTGTGATAAAAGTGGTGCGACGTGGTTTCAGTTTAGCAGTGATATAACTTAATACTTTCTTTATTTTGATAAAAAAATTAAGCATACTTATTTTATTTTCCAGGATTCTTATGTACTTCATCATTTCAAATCAATGGAGCGATTTTTATCCGTTGGTCCACCCGTGTATTTTATTATTAAAGGTGATATAGACTTTAGTGATCCATATGTTCAAAATAAAATTTGTTCCGGTGCTGGATGTTATCAGAATTCACTTGGTGGTCAAGTTGCGCATGCTGCTGTATGGTCAAATAGGTTACTTCATTCAGATTAATGATGAATTTATGCATTTCCATTATATAAAAGTGACACTGATGAAAATCAGTAAAAAAAAATAATTGTGAAATTTGAAATAAACTAATCTATAACTTTTATAGATCCTATATTGCTCATCCTGTAATGAATTGGCTGGATGATTATATCGATTGGTTGCAATCTGAAGGTGATCCACCATGTTGTCGCTTATATCCGAATGGAAGTTTTTGTGCAGCCAGTGGTAAGTCTTGAAAATTTTCTCATCAAATTTACGAAAATAATATTTGGATGCTCAGTCAGTTAACTTTAATTACACATAATTTCAGTAAATTTTTAAAAGCATCATTTGACTGACTGACAGCGCGAAGCTCTTTCACCAGAGAATCACTGATTATGGAGATACTGGTAGGCTCCCTGCAATCACTTGGATTTTAATGTCATATAGTTGGCAATACTTTTTTTGGAAAAATTTAATAATCATTGTATAATTTAATAATCCATGAATCATATACATTTATCTATGTTTATTTTTAGTACAAGAATCCATTTGTTCCCCATGTGATGTTGAATTCAAGGATAATCGGCCTCGTTCCGATCTTTTTTATGATAATCTTATTCATTTTCTCTCTGATAATCCCAGCAGTAAATGTGCGAAGGGGTATGTTGTTTTTGAAATGTAATATATAAAGGTTTAATCCGTTGTAACTTTTGATTTAATTGTTTAATATTTTTCATTTTTTAATATGTGTTTATTTGAGAGGACATGCAGCATATGGTTCTGCGCTTGAGTTATCACCTCGTCACCGTATTTTGTCATCACATTTTATGACTTATCATACTGTTCTTAAGACTTCTTCTGATTTTATAAATGCTATGGTAAGCGCTCGTCGTATCGCAGAAAACATATCTGTTGTGTTAAATATTGATAAAGATGGGCGATGTCCGATCGAAGTTTTTCCTTATAGGTTTTTTTTAAATTAAATTCTATATTATATATTGTAATTTTACATTATAACTTCTATAATGTAATTCTTTAAAATGAGCTAATTCTTGTTTAGTTTCAGATAAGACAAATTGTTTTTTTTTATTTTAAGCGGAGAATTTTAAAATGATATAATAATATAAATGAATTTTATTTTAGTATATTCTATGTGTTTTACGAACAATATATGACGATAATAACAGATGCTTGTGTTCAATTGGTTTTGTCTTTAGCTGCAATATTTGCTGTCACAACTATTTTATTAGGGCTTGATCCCTGGTCAGCATTTATCATTGATCTCATCATAAGCTGTGTTTTATTCAACCTGATTGGATTAATGTATTGGTGGTCAATTGATTTCAATGCGGTTTCCGTCGTTAATCTTGTTATGGTAAGATTTTGATAAAAATTTTTTTTTTTGATAAAGATTAAGTTTATAGCAAATTTATACCTATAATGTTTTAAGCTTAATTGTCTGTAACCTTTTAATATTCTTATCTTTTTTTTTTTAAAATATTCATGAGGTCTTTTTAATTCCTTGATTTTTTAACTTTCATTATTTCATTTTTATTAGTTATTTATTATGTATTTACTTCCTTTCCATAATTAAACGAAATAAATGGAATAAAGTTTCTTTAGTCATTAAAAAAGTTCGAAAAGTCTCGACGAAATTGCAGTTTAAACTCGTGGGGGAAATTTTTTTTATACACTCTAATTTCATTGATCGACCAGATGCCATTCTATTGGAGTTTATTTTCTTCTAGTCGGGCGGATTTTTAGTTCATTGCTGTCTAGCGAAGTCATCCCACCTTTGTAGTCAGTGGTGCTTTTTTTGCCGAAAATGTTTTGAAAATAAGATGAAAAATTTCGTTTAGTAAGTTTATATTTGTCGAAATCATATTCATTTCTCAAACATTTAATATATCTCTAATATTAAATATTTCTAATACGAGATAGCATAATGCGTCCTAACCAAGCTGGATTCAGACAGGAACGAGGTTGTGCTGACTAGATATGCACTAAGAAAGGTGCTGGAATATCGCTCCAGATACCAATAACCCAGCGTCACTTGCTTTATCGATTTTACAGCTTCCTTCGATTCGATTGATAGAGCAGCGCTCTGGAAAGTGATGGAATGTGACGGTATCCCAAAGAAGATCATTCGGCTTATAAAGGCATTTTATCAGCATAATCTGACATAGGTCTATATGTATATGGGGAACTGATGGATTTTTTCAAAATAAGAATGGGTGTCCGTCAGGGCAACCTCCTTTTCCCCTACAGTATTCAGCTATGCAATAGACTGGATAATGGGCATCGCTTATAGACACTCAAGATATATAGTCTAGAGCATAGCATCACAAACCTAGAATATGCTGATGATGTAGTCCTTTTTGCTGATAGTTATGAGAAAATGCAAATAATGTTAAACAATCTGTCAACAACTGCAGCGAGAATTGGACTCAAGTCAAAGTAAATAAAACTGTGTTTTGTCTTGTATGCAAGATGCTGATAAAATACCTATTTTTATCAATTCAATGCCGGTTGACGAAGTGCTGGACTTTAAATACCTTGGATCCATTGTAATCCCAAATGACCACGCAAGGGATGAAATTGTAAGCCGAATTATGACAGGTAGAAATATGTTTTTCCGGTTGATGAAACCTTTATGGAACCGTTGCGAAATCACCATAAAGACGAAAATTCGCGTCCATGTAGCTGCAGTTCACTCGATCGTGCTATACATCTGCGAAACATGGCTAATGAGAGTGGAAGATATTAAGAAGTTAATATTATTATTATGTTATCGTCGCCTTCGCTGGTTAGGGCACGTTCTTCGTCGTCCACCACAGGAGTTGACGCATATTTCGTTATTTGCCGGCATAAAAAACGAGGAAGGTCAATTAAAATTTAGACTGATACAGTTAGGAAGGATTCTGAACGTACAAAAAAAAGGAGTGGCTTCTTTTAGTACTAGCGATGGCGCCGGACCGAGCAGCTTGGAGATGTCTTATCCTTATAGCCGTCGGAGCCAGTCTAACCAGTAATGATAAGATTTATTAGAAGAAGAAGAAAGAAGAAATATTTCTAATGATATTTTTCAGTCTGTTGGAATCTCAGTAGAATTTTGCTCACATATTGTAAGGTCATTCGCAATGAGTGTGCAGCGTAATCGCGTAGAACGAGCTCGTTATGCTTTAGCGTCGATGGGTTCATCGGTAAATTTTTTAAAATTTTTTTTTGATAAATATTTTAATGGATCCTCAATCTGCGTATTCAGTGCGTCTGATTATTAATACCTTAATTCTCCATTTTTGCATATTTATTTTAGGTATTATCCGGCATCACACTGACTAAATTTGGAGGGATTATTGTTCTCGCATTTGCACATTCTCAGATATTTAAAGTATTTTATTTTCGGATGTTTTTGGGTATCGTTTTAATTGGTGCAACGCATGGTCTCATTTTCTTACCTGTTCTTTTGAGTTTCATTGGTTTGTTCTTTATATTTTTGTTTTTTTCATTTTTGTTTCATAAGACCGTAAGGAAATTTGTCGAAGAACTTTCATTTTTTGCAATTTCTTATATTTTAAATTATATTCCTGATTTCTATTGAATAAATTTTATGCGGGCTTTGGTTATTTTTTAAATCTGTTGAATTATTTCAGGCCCGCCGATGAACAAGCGAAAATTCTTATTGAAAATGAGAGGCGAGGCTTGTTTGGGTGAATGTAGTGGTATAAAAAAGTGTCCCTCTGGCAAGCATTGTGATCGAATTTGACAGTTTAGCTCGAATTACAATTCCATGAATTTTATGTACATAAATCATATATCTTTTTATAATAGTCGAATTTTTCAATTGTTACTCATCTGAATACATTTATAATTTATTTATTTATATTTTAATCGCGAACTTCAATTATAATTCAGGTAATTTATCCAATTTTTGAAAGTTTTTTTTTTTACTTTAAAAGTAGAGGAAGGAGAATTAAGCGAAAATATCTCTATCAATTTTTTAAATTATCCTTTTTCTTTTAGTCTTTTTCACCATAGTTTCCGAATTTTGAAAGATTTTAAATGAGTCTTCTTCTCAAATAAATATTATGTGGTAAATTTGAAGGTGTCAGAAATATTAATTTTCACTAATTTTCGTTTTCTTGTTGTAAAAATTTTAGTTTGAAAGGTTTAGATTTAATATCGAGGAGTTTTTTCATTGAAAATAATGAAAACGAAAATTTTCGGAATCTTTTCTCTTAAAGTTCTGATTACGTGAAATTCTATTAGTTTTAGATTTATAGGTTTTATAGATTTTACTTGGAAACTCGGCGTGGCAGAAATGTGATTTTTGCAAATGCCAGTCAATTTTTTGATTGGTCATCGTACCAGTTATTGTTGCTAAAATCATTTAATTATTATATCTTTAAAATTGAAATCTTATTTAATAAAGTAGATTTTCAGATTCAGCGATTCTAACGATATAAGAAGAACTAAGGTTACGACTTTAACGGTTGGAATTTTTTGGAAAATAGATTTTTTGGTTCTTTTTTGAATGTTTGTGCTACTTATTGATGCTACATATGTTCAGCCTTTAAAACTGAACACTGTGATAATCATTTTATATGTGGCAATATTTCTTGTTTTTAAATTACTTAATTATTTAGATTCTTTTAGCATTTCTATAAAATGAATTTCTTGAAGTTTTCTTCGAATTGAAATTATATACTCGAATTATATAATCGAAAGTGTTAGTTTAGTTTGACTTAGTTTAACCTAGTTTTCACCGTAAATTTAGGCTTTTTAATGCATTTATCTTTACAAAAGTAAAGATTTTTTAAATATGGAATGTAGTTTAAAATTTACGGGAATGATACTGGCCATTTGTCGGAAGTGTTCATTTTGTTAACACTGTCGTTTATTGAAAACTGTATGCCAATGTGTTGACATTGTCAAATTATGCGTTTAAATCCTATTTGAACTATTAGATATTTTGCCACAGATAGTAACTATTTCTATAAGTAAGGAATTTCTCAGACCAAAGGCGTCATAAATAAATTTTTGACAATGTCTTCAAAAATACCTTTTTCCATGTCAAATTATGCGTGTAAAAACTTATTATAAGATGATCTTCATTTTCGCAAAGTTCACTTTTTTCATGTGATTAATTAAGAAGTTTGGACTAACCTTAAAAATTACGGAAAAGCGAGCATTTGATAAATTCTTAAGGATTTATGAATCGGATTTAATGGGAAATAGCTCAAGCTTCTTTCTTTTTCCTACTTTGGTTTGACTTATTTATTCATTTTAATAATTTTCTCTTCGTCAAGAATCTCCTTGTGTTTTCTGGAAGTGCAATCACTTGCAACGATACTCTTGCAATATTATTACGAAAATTAAAATAGTCGGGAATAATGGCCAATTTTCAGTAATACAAGAGTATCGTATTAACCATGTTCTTATTTTGCGCCAGTTATAATATCTTTAGCGATTTCTATTTATAAGAGAACCTTTAAATGTATTGTTTTATTGAAGCAGTAATGATATTCTCATTGTAATTTATTTTGCGCCATTTTTTAGTACCATTAACTGGTTGTCTCATTTTTCTTATAGCGAGAAATTCTTCGAAAATTGATTTTATTAATTTTAAATCGGATGGGTTCATAAGAAAGAAAGAAAAGAGGAAAATTTAATCTATTCTTAATCACATGTTGTTAGTTATATTAATTATTATTCGGCTTAATTAATTTAAAGTTAATTATTTATTAAATGCTTTAAAATATTTGTAACTTCTCTCACCTGTTTTAGTCTACTTCATCTATTCTTAAAAGCTTATCACTTATTCTTTGAAGCTTATCACCTATATTTAAAGGCTTATCACCTCTTTTTTGAAGAAATTTTATTTTAAAATTTTAATAAGAAATTAAAATTAATTAATGAATAAAAATATAAAAAAATATAATAAATATATAATATAAATGTAAACAAAGGTAATAATCATAATATATAATAAATTAATAAAGATTAACTAATTTATATTCTAATTTCTTGTTAAATTCACAGCGATGACGACGAAAAGAAATATTCTCCTTTGCTGACGTTGCATAAGTTTCATAACATCGAATGCACTATAAAGAGAAAGCGAATCGTCGAGAAATATATTTTTCTCATTTTCGATTTTATAAAGTTTTTTTTGTTTCTTTTTCTATTGTTTTCCATAAAATTTGTTATAATTTATGATTTATATTTTTATTTTTAAAAAGATTTTCGTTTATTTTGAATTTGTTTTTCCATTGTTGATAAAGCCGAACGAGACAAATAATAGCGCTTCTCATGTTCATTTCCCGTTCATTTTCGTAAAATACAATAAATAGAACGTTATACGAACTACGAGTCATATACTACACATTCCGCCAGCATTCCAATCTTACGGTGTCCTATCGCAGTAGTCCTACGGAATAGTCAAAAGGGCCACGGGCTGGGACCGCGTTAAAATTATCCTAATGTGATTGGACTATACGTCAGCTTCAGCTGAAACATTTTTAAATTTGTAAATTCGTTAATTTTCGACGAACCATCCGGCTGATCCATAAAATTGCTGGGCTATGTGGTGTTCCTGAGTTTTAGAATATATAATTTTCTTCTAAAAGTCTTGAATGAATATGATAGTCTGCACAAAATATTTATTAAAACAGATTGTGTAATTCGAATTAGGCTCCCACATATTGACTAAGAATCACCTTGGATCCCAGGTGATCCATAGGAGTTTAGGTGACGACCAGTTGCTTGGAAGTTATGGTTTCGGACTCATCAAAAATTTATGTTTAAAAAATCTATTTTATGATAAAAAATCTATTTTAAATTTGAAAATTTTGAAGAAATGTTTCAACGACGTCGGCAACAAAATTTTGGTGTATATTTACTTGCTTATCAATTGCTAAACAGCGGTTTTATTCCGCCAGTTACTCTTCTCTTAATTGTTTTCCAAATCGCCGTATTTCTCGAAATTGTACCAGTTTTTGCTTCATGGACACTTGGTAAGTTTTATTTTTCATTTCTTTCTTGTTGTTTACCAAAAATTTCTTTCAATGTGAACAATTTATCTGGAAAATTCACCAAGCAAGATTTTAAGATTGATTGGTTTGTCAGTTATCGTAGAACCTCTCTCCCTTTTAGTTATCGAGCGAAGTAAACCAGCGATGGTGCTTGTTAGAAGGAAAAAGAAAAGATATTTATAGCTATAATTTTTGTTAAACTTATGCCAGATTTAGATAGCGAGTATATTTTTTTACTCTCTTCTCTTCCAGTTTATTTTCATTTTAGGGATATTTTATAATTTTTCTCTTCTTGTTTATTTTCATTTTAGAGATATTTTATAATTATATTTTATAAAAGTTTATTGTTATTATTATTTGTAATTTGATTTATTTTAGGACAAATTTGTCTTTTACCTTTTTCGATATTAGGAAAAAGAGAATGGTATCGTCTTATTTTACCTGTATTCATGCACGCCGATGATATGCATCTTTATTATAATATGATCTCATTACTGTGGAAGGTCACTTGTTTATTATCATATTATAAAGTTTAATGTGTTATTATTATAAATTATTTAAAAATTTTCGGAATAGATAATGCTACCGGTAAGGAAGAATGGCTAAATTGATTTTTAGGTTGAAATCCTTAAAATAATTCTCCAAAATGGGTATATTCTTCTTCTGTGCGAAAGGAATCTCGAATTAATATCGAAAAATAGTAAAAATTTGAAAATTAATTTATTTTAACTTGTTTTACTAGACATGATCTCTGGGCATTTTTACGATTTTTTGCAATTTTTTAATACTTATTGATAGCGTTTTATGTTATTTGTGCTATTTATAAGGAAAAAAAAAAGGCAAAGTGATCCCACATCCCACTGACTGTGAAAACTATACGAATTCCCTATGTACTAAAACGAATCAGTAAACAATTAATTGAATATATATAATGTTGCACTGTTTTTTTGTTCAATTTCATCATTATTTGATTTTATTAATTTATTTCTTATTTTATTTATTTATTTTTTTGTATTTCTATCGAAATTAAAATGAAAATTTAATTTCGATGAAAATGAAAATGAAAATGAAAAAATGAAAATTTATGAGGGATGAGAGATTTGCTATTAAAGTCTATAAAGCTATTTTCCTTTATAAAATAAAAGAAAAATAAGGCGTTATGTTATTTCTTGCAGGCCACTTCCTATCAGTTTTTCAATGAATTATTTCAGGGAAGACGTCTAGAGCCATATATGGGATCAAGGCGTTTTTTCTTTACAATCTTTTGTTTTGTGCTTGGAACTAGTGTAATGACAGTTGCTATAAGTTATTTAATGGATGAAGTTTTTCGTATTGATGGAATCAGTTTGATGAGTCAATGTGCAGTCGGTTTTTCAGGTTCATATTTTATATTTTATATTTCCTTTTTCTTATCCTCTAATTAATTTTCTGATTTTCATTTTCTAATTGGTTTCATTTTCACAAAAATATATGATGAGACAAACTTTTCTTTTCTTGGAAAGTATCTGAAAGGATTTTGGGTAATACAAAGAATAATGCAAAAAATTTATTAGGTGTGCTTTTTGCCCTAAAGGTTCTTCTCAATACGTATTTCCCATATGGCGATGAATATTTATTGGGTTGGATGCCAGTACCATCGCGATACGCGTGTTGGGCCGAACTACTGCTTATTCAGGTTTTCTGTTTTATTTTCTTCTATCAATCTTATCTATCAATTAAATTTTAATTAATGAATTAATTGAATTGAATCGAAATTAATATTAATGTACAATATATTAATTTGCTTAATCATAACCATCATTTGCAATTACCTAAAATTTAATCAATTCAATCAAATCTAATTTAAATTTAGATGATCACACCAAATGCATCATTTGTCGGTCATCTTGCTGGTATTCTGGTGGGAATATTATACATATGGGGACCACTGGAACGTTTCGTTTCTGTTATAGATTCATGTTTTCTCGCCGCATGGGGTTAGTGTCGTGTTTATATCAATATAATTTTAAGTCAAATGCTTTGCATAAAATTTTCAAATAAATGAAAAAGATATTTTATAATTTTTCTTCAAGCGAAGTAGTTATGCCAAAAATATTTTATTTTGATTCGTATCATTTATGAATTTATAATTTTATTCATACAGATATCGACAAATTTTTTCATACTTTTCATAAATTCAAAAAATAGTAAAAATATGAAACATTACCTCAAAGGTTTTTTTAAAAGTTATTATTATTAGTTATTTTAGGTTTATTCAATTTTACTAGGTACAACGGAACTGATTACTATGAAAATTCATTTCATAATGACTTTAACTCGAGAAATACTTATGGGCAGAGAGCTGGATATTCACATCAGCCAGATCCGAGACAAACTTATGGTTGGCGAACTTATCAAAATCAAAGTTCGTCATCTGTTTAAATTTGCGAATATTTTATAATTTATAATTTTTTATAATTTAAACTGCTATTTACAAATTCTTATTTTTGGTTGGAATTATTTGGAAATTAGTCTTTTGATAAGTTTTTTTCTCTGCTGGTATTAATGTTAGCAAAAAGCAAACCAAAAAGTGCTGAAAAAGAAGTATAAAAAGCAATTGAGAGAAGAGTTTTATGCGTGAATTTATGAATTTGTTGAATGTGAAATGGTATATGAATTTAGTGGAGTGCTTGCAGATATTTTTGCCTTTTTCAGGAAATTTTGATGATTATACTGGAGGATTTAGCGAAGAAGAACAAATGAGACAAGCAGTAGAAGAGAGCTTGCGTCAAAGGGCAAATCGGGCACCCGGAGCTCCACCTTATCCTTTTTAATTTTTTTAAATTATTTTTATTGCTGATTTTCACTTTGTTTTTATATCAAATGTTATAGAATATTATATAACTATTTGCTGTAAAAATTAATTTATTTACGCTTTTTAAATTTTTATATTGTCATCGGTTAGCAAAGTTAATGAGATCAAGAAACTCTACAAAAGTCTATAAAAATTAATTTATTTAAAAATTTTTTGAAAAAAAGGGTGGTTATTTTTTATTTTTATCATTTGTAATTTTAGATTCTTGCTTGTAATTAATCTTTATGAAAATACAAAAAAGTTGTGAAATGTCAGGTAAATGAATAAATGAATAAATCTCATTATTTTTTGGATTAGAAATTACGAATATATATTAAAGCTTTGACTAAAGAAATTTGTGAAATCCATCATTCAAAGTGAAACATACTTTAACTACATTCTTATTATCACTTTTATTATATATCGCCTAAATGAATTTTTTTGTAAATATGAGGCACTTTTAAAGGTTTCAAAAATAGAAAATATTGATACAAAACAAATTTATTGCAAAGATGATTTTCAGCCAAAGGTTTTAAATTTTAACCTTTAAGTATGAAAATTGCTTATCACTGAAAAATTTTTTCTGCTTATCACTGTTTGGACTCTCTCAGTAATGAATTTCTTTTTCCTTTTTTAAATTTTTATTTTAAAATTTGACAACATTCAACTTGCATTTACATAATTACATTAGGCAACGTTCTCAGTATTCGTCGTTAATCCTGAAGGTTCAATTTCAACAATCTGAATTGTATCGTCTTCAAAAGCATTGTTGTTAAAACCATTTAAACCGTTTATTGAAATAGGTTCATTTTTCGGTGCCATGTGCGGTTCATTTGTTACCGCCACAGTGGGGTGCAAATCGCCATTTGTTTCATTTTTGTCAACGACGATTTCGTTGAGAACAATAAGCGAAAATCCTAGCGAACACAAAGAAATCGCCCATTGTAATACTTGCAAACTATGATCAGTCTATAAACTGTTTTATTTTGAAATAAAAATATAAATCTAAAAGGGAATAAAGGAATGAGGAGGAGGTGAAAAGCGAAATAAATCGTTTTTGAATGGCTTAAGGAAAGTGAAAGTTTTATTTGTTAAGAAGTTGAATTATAATAGTAGTAACAAAAAAACGTATACGAGTATAATGATGATGTGGTCGACAGGTAAAAGTTGACGGAGCCTATTGATATTTGCGTTTGACCGAGCCAACGATATCATTAATTGTATATAGTTTGTTTGGGCTGAGAGAAATGATAAAGTTGTGATACATTCAACTACCAGCTGAAATTTTTTATTGTTAATTTATTAATTTAATTTTTTGATTTGTTAAACAGAGTTTTTTAAATTAAAACTAAAGAGTATCTTTTTGCGATTATTATAAATAAACTTTTCCTTCTTCTAAGAACGTTCATCATTTCTGATTAGACTCACTGGATAAGAATTCTCGGATAAGAATTACAAGTTTTGCCGGGGAATCCCCCTTGGTGATGGAAGTACGATGAGTCGACGGGTTTTTAAATTAAATTAAGTATCCCAGCATCGCTCCGAAATGAAAATAACCCCTCTGAGGTTCGATGATTAAGACTGAAGAGAATCTTTGTGTTGTTATTAACTGTTAAATCATTCTAAACTAATAGATTTAATCATTTTATTCGATTGTTGATGAGTTTTTTGAATGATTTTTTGTCGAATAATTTTGATTTTCTCATTTCTTCTATTATGCATGGATCATAATAATACGATAAAACGTGACTTTTTCAGTCTGTAAAAAAATACTTGTAAAATGAGAATCAGAAGGCAACTTTGATATCGTTCGTATAAGCAAACCCATTTTTGTAGGACAAAAGTTGATAGAACACTTATCCAATCGTGAATACCAAAGTTAATTGAAGGATCGTTCATTTTCCAGCCTACTTTCATCTGCAAGAACTTTTAACGATTGATAAAGTAATCAGTATAGGCGTCAAATAAGGGGAGTGCAAATTATAAAGGTTCTTATAGGCTTAGGGCCAATATGGCCGAATAATAGATTGCTTTGATTGCAGCCAAGTGTCAGGGTTTTAATGATGGTGCCCGTTGACAGGAGAAAAATTACCATTAAAAGGGAAATCATTTATGTTTCCATTGCTAAAATATTCTCTAAAGGTACAATCACTTTAGAAGATATTAGAGCCAGCCAAATTAGAAATGGTGCTTGCTGTTAAGTAGGAGGAGAGGGGTTTTATAGAGGCAATTCGAAGATTATAAAAAGATATAACCAACTTCATTCTAACCATAAATTATGAAAGGTCTTGTAACTGCAAAGATTTTATGTCTGTCCTTTGTCCCTCTAAATAAATTCTTTTTGTTTCAACAGAAAACACCGCTTCTGGCTGGCAACACTATGACGGTCAAACCCTTTTGTCAAAGAGTTATTTGGAGATAAAGATGGCTCCTCATCAGCCACCACGACTTTCCTCATGTTAAAGGACAGAAAACGTATTCATTTTGTTTGCCTTCTACTGAAGAGTATGATAATAATAACCAAAAGGGTATGATAATAATCAAATAATCAATTCATCCCTGAAATTATGGTTGCAATATTTTAGAAATCAAGTTTTACATTTAGTTTATCTTAAAAAAATCCAAAATTATTACTAACAATAAGTATCAATGAGAATTCGAGTGTTAATGTTAGAAAATTGATAGTGGCTAAATGATTAAGCATTTTTAAAAGTGCGGATATGCATGAAGGTTGACTTTGGAGTACCGTATGAGTCAAAATAGTTCGCGTATTAAAACGAAGGCAATGAATCGCGATGAAAGTTGAATAAACAGCGATTATCAAATCCACACCTGAAATTGATAAAATAAACTAAATTTATCAGTTCAATTCGTTAGACATCTACAAAGATAAAAGCAATTGATCAGATTTGTTGAATAGATTGAAAATTTAACCATAAAGTAGTCCCACGGGGAAATTACTGAATAATTTTATGTTTAGTGTTCCAATGAGAAATTCTTCACCAAACATATAAATAGTGTGTAACGAACAGTTTAAAAGAATGATCGCAAATACACAACCTACTTTCTGAAAAAAAAATTTCTCAGCTTTTTGGAGATCACTTGAATTGAATGTATTAAAAAGAGGATATAATTAGATGCAGTTGATTGGAACTTACCAAGGCTATTGTAATGTGATCCCTTCTATAAATATGAAATGAAAGCGCAAGAAAAAGGGCATAAAATAATGAAATGCCTGTGCTTGCAGTTAAAGTTCGACGGGTTATATTTAGTGTGAAATAGGAAATATCAAGTGCAATATAAGCTAAAGCCAGGATAACTGATTCCAGAAACAAAAATAAAGAGCACAGCTCATCTGCAAATAATGTATAAATTCGATAGATATGATAGATAGATTTTAAATATCGCTTATCAATCCATGATTAAAATTTAAGGCTGCTAGGATAATGCTAAATCGCCAACGGTTCGCTACTAATAACGTGCAGAGACACAATTTAAGATGCTGAAGAAGTTACGAAATAAGTTTATCTATCTGTTCATAATAAATTGAGAGCCTTCTTTTTACAAATATTTGATCCTACGTTTCTTATTTATCATAATGGCCCAGTGGATTGTTGCTTAGTTCGGAGCGCCGATGCTAAGATTCCACATCCTACAGGAATAAACCTGCCTAAAAATCCATGGTGACGACTCATCTATCGCTCGTGAAGGGACTCTATGGCATCTTATCTAATGAGACAAGCCAGCGGAGGAGCTCTTATTTATTCTATTTGTTAATAAGAAAACTGTTTAGAACAGCTATTTCTGCTCTAAGAGGAATATCTTCCTAGTCCAAATTTCAACATCAAATCTGTCATGATTCCTGCTATTTCTGTTCTTTGCCCATCCATTCAATAATTTAAATTCCTTAAGGAAAAGGTTCATCGTCTTCAATTCTGTCGAAAACATTCAAAACTAATGAGCTGACGCCCCAACCTGTACTTCTCGATTTTCTGCAAAATTTTTTTAGTAGACATCGGAAGGAGCCGAACCAGAAATGCAAAAATGTTAAAACTTAGCCAAAATTTGCGGCTTTTTTATTTTCATTTTTCAATAATGTTGACCAACAGTATTAATGCATTTGGCTGAGCTTTAAGTTTTGAAAACTCGGACAAAATATTCGTATAAAAAAGAATTCTTTGAAATGCAAAATAAAAAACAATTTTAAAAAAACCATGTCGCGATGCCTGGGCTGCCTGAGCGACGGAGACAAGCCGATCTGGATCCGGCTGAAATATAATTCGTTTTAACATCTCCTCTTCGAACGCGTAGCCCGAAAGTGAAGCAGTTACGAGTGCACATAGAATTAGGCGACAGCCATGGATTAGCAACGTAATCGAAATCATGACCTTTAAATACGAACCTTTAATGAGCATCACAACTACAGCGGAGCGAGCCTTTTCTATTGGCAGATCTTCAATTTTTTAAATAATTCATCTATTCAGCCAATAATTTTTTTGCATAATTCGTGATCCATAAAGAGGAAAAATAAATAAAGTTCACATTACTATTTTACCAACAATTTATAGGTGCTAAATAAATATGTCGAGTGGTAAAAAAATAAGTTATAAAATCCCACCTGGTCAAAAAGAAGATTACTATCAACGTGTACAGCAACAGATTTCATATAAATGCACACATAATAAGTACTCCATGCATGAGCTAATTCTTGTGCCAGTTGGCAGGAATTCATTACAACAATGGTGATATTTATAATTCGAGTGGACCTTTTTTGTAGAACACTTTGAACTATTGCCATTATTAATGCTAATGATGCGCAACATAGCTGTTGAACGACATACGATTGAATATAGCTGAAGACATAGGCAAAAAGTTCAAGGCAATAAAAATTTGGATTTTAACAAAGCCAATCTACTAAATGAACAATGAATCGCTTTATTTTATTTACTTTTCGCTTTAGTGTAGCTTTACTTTAGCTTTAGCTCATTAGCTTCAGTTCTTCTCATTCTAATAGCAAATAACTCCGCGAATTATTAGGATGGAAGCGGTAAGTTGTTTGGAGGTATAACTGCAAGTAGATCGCATGAGCCTAAAGACACGGAACCATGCTTATATTGCTACTCTTCAGGCCACATAACGTATCACTCGACTAGCCTTGCGGTATTTCTGGCCAAATCCTTCCTAAATCTTCTGCCTAAGAGAACTGAACCTTTACGGTACAAAAGAAAAAATTTAGAACTTAGATAATATCTCATGAAATATAATATCTCATCGTAATTGCAATATTTGCTTTATAATATTCATTTTATCGTAGAAATTCATGGAAATGTGTTCATTGTGATTTAGAGATAAATCAATCCTCTCTAATCACTATAATGTTATTGTTATTTTTTCTACATTATTGCTATTTTTGGGAATATTTCCAGAGAAAATTAATAATTTTTATAGTTATTTATGCCGAAAATCTAACGTTGTTTTTAAAGAAATAGTCTCGAGGCAAATATAAATACTGAAAAATGCGAGTGCTGCATGAAGAGTTGAGCAAGTCTGTAATTTCGCGCTTGTAATTAATTAAGGCGTATTTATGAAAAACCAATTTTTTGCTAAAAAAAAATAAATTCTATGAAAAGATGCTAATTTTACTATATTAAAAATTCTTCGAGTCAAGTACCTGAACCAAGCGCTTTTGAACGAACGGAACAATATTCTGATGTTCCCATGCAAAGAGGATAAGACGGCGTATGTGATAAATCGAAAGCAAAAAACCGAGTAAGGAGAGAAATATGAGAATCACACTTAGCCTGAGGTATTGAATAATATCGTTACGACGTCCTTCAGGCGAATGGATGGAAATGTTGATTGAATCGATTGTATATACAAAAAAACTAATAATACTGTACACAATTGTATATTGGTTGGCGACGAATAACGCCGAGAAAAGTACCATTGAAGGTGTTTGTAGAAATAAGTATGTGAAAAATACATTAACTGCCAATGAAGAAAGTAGCCAGCGACTTTCATAAAGTTGCCCGACATGCAACTAAAAATTTGCAATTCAAAATATGAATTTAACGGAAAGATGGATTTTGTTGCTAAATTTGCAAAAATATTTATTTATTATATTTAATATATTTAATTGTTTTATATTTATTATTTATATTTTATTGCTTAATATTTAATTTAATATTTTCATTTCAAAAATATTTACAATTTTTCGAGAATTTATTCTTGCTGAATAGCTATGACTGGTAAGATTGTTCGAATGACTCGTGCAATTTGAGCAACTGACTTAGATCACTGACATAGGAAATTTTGTATGTATCATTTGATGGTTTATTTTTCCAGTCTAGCCACAAACAACTTTTTAATGAATAAAAATTCAAAACTTTTTAGCTTTAAACTATCAATCATTGAAAAGTGAAAGCAAAAAATTCAAAAGCAGAAAAGTTTACAAATAATTGCAAGAGGTTTTTTTTTCGTTTATAAATCTAAGATTGCTCACTATTTCTGGTCCAACTCACTGGCTCGACAAGCCACGGAGTCATTTGCCGCTAGAGGTGCTGATGAGTCACCAGCACATCAAGATTTTTTTGGAAGACAGGCTCGGAACCTGAGCACCGGCGCTCCGAAATGAGAGCAACAATCCACTGAGCTATTTCCCAAATTACAAAACTATGAAGAAAATTCTTTTGCAAACATTTAAACAATTAAGATTTGTAAATTAATAATCGAAACGTAGAATTATAAAAGATGCATTGAATTTGCTAGCCAAACTCTAATAATTAAATTTTAATCGCTGCATAACTGAACTTTAATAGCTAAATTCAACAGTTAAATGCCATTCAATGTGTGTTTATCAGTCAAACTTGATTCTATGAATAGATAGTTCAGCTATTTGATAATTTGATAATCACGCTGATCAAGTTTAAGTCTCGCAATTTTCTTTAGTTTATTTGGTCCTATAATGTCACAAATTTTACAAATTATCATTCACCACCACATAACAAATGAAGAAGACAGATGATGTTAGTATTGAAAAGAATGGTTGCAATTTTATTTGAAATTTTTTTGATAATGATCAAATATAATCGAAAAATTTCTTAATTTTAATTTATATAAAATTAAACAAAGTAATAAATGGCATTGAACCTGATAGACAGGTGAGTTCCAATAAAGTGAAATACAACAAATAAACCACAAAACAACGACAACTGATATGGCAAAAGAAATAAACCGATGCTGTTTCCTGTTTATATCGGAGAGGTGCATAATGATCCGAGTATAGCGCTAATGACGATGACTGAGCAGATGCTGAGAATAGGCAGAATTGGCCTCGATAGATCCCTCTCTAGATTCCAACTGCAATTCATCTAATTATGAGCCTTAATTCGTTTATGACCGTATAAACTCTTTGGCAAAACGAAAATCTCATTTCTTATCTTCCAGTAAGAAGTATTTTTATAGTTCGGACAGTTCAGATAGTTCCATTTAGGCTATTTAGACGAGAAATTATCCATATGCCTAGGAAATTAGGGAATTAGTTAAAAGAAAAAGGTAGAGATGGTTCTTTGATGGTATTAAGCGAATGTGAATCGGAATCGGAATCATAGCATCTTTTCTAAAAAATCACCATTATTCTCTTAAAATCCCAAAACTATCCTCTTTAAAATTTCAGATTTAACCTTTTTTGGTACCAAAAAATTCCGCTTACTTCACAGAAAAATTAAAGAAAAACTTCGTAAAATTTTTATTATTATAATTGGATAAATAATTTAGAATAAACTTTCGATTCGAAGGATATTTTGAAGAAATCAATGAAACCGATCAGTTTTATTCGCCTTTACTCTTTTATTTCAACGAGCAGCTGCTTCGACGAGGATTTAATGAACTTATGATTTAGCAGCAAATCTTCTCGTCTCATTTTTTGCCTTCGATTATCAAGCAATAGCTTTTCGTATTTTGATTTATAGATTAAGTACAGTGCTAATGTCTAAAATTCATCCACGGCAAAACCTTTGCTCGAAATAAGTCATTAAGCCGTAGTTCCACAGTAAAGAAGTACCAAGGATCAATATTTTTGGTATAATTCCCAGCCAACTATTTACTGCAATCATTTATAATCAATTTGCTTATAATTTTTGACCACTTCAGCTGTTATAATCTATCTATTAATCGAATAATCGAATCGCAGATGTTTCATATTCTTTCTGCAGATGTCTAGGAAATATGGTAAATATCACGACAAACTGCGCATCCGATCCGATCCGATATAAATCGTTTAAAAAGAAGTTCATGCATAAAGTTTTATGAGGTTCATGAAATTCATATAGCGCTCACCATTTCTGGCTAATTTCGCTATACTGCTTTTATCAGAACAGATAAATTTTTGGCTAATTTATGATGCCAGAAATACAGATGGTTCACCACATCTATTTTTTGAAAGAAAAATTAGGAGTAGAATTCAAGCATCGCTTTTCAGCGGGTAACAACCCGTTGAGCTATTCTAACGCGAATGATATGCATGTTAATCCGAAAAAGATTTAATAAAATCGCAAAAATGACGAGGTAAAGTACAACATTTACAACATTTAATCTATATAAATAAAAATTTAAATCTTAAACGGATATATGTAGCTTTTTTCTCTAATGGCATCCACCAGTCCTGGTTTTTCTGGTACCAATTACTAATTACTAATTAGAGTTTCAATCGCACATATATCTATGCGGTCCAAATTTCATCTTTAATGGCAGGTATATCTCTTGGAAAGTGAAAGAAATTATGCCCTCAGCCAAAGTAAACGTGATTAAACCACCTTACTCCTTGACGATTATGTTGTAAATACGATGTGATGTAAGGTTCAGCAACAATAATTTGCTTGGCAAGTACCCTTCCCTTCGTATCAGTTATAATTAATTAACAACTCTTAATCACTTCTTTGCACTTTCTTTGTCATTGAAACAATTGATCATTTCACACCTGACGCTATAGTTTGTATCAAAAAATGAACAAAATATTCTTATTTGTTAAATTCCACCCCCCCCCCCCCACAATATTTTTTTTCATTGGGGGTAATTACAATATATTTATTTATATAAAATAAATAGGAAGATACAGCAAGAAATTTGCTTTTGATCGACGACAGATGTAGAATGTTGGATGAGATCAGTCATTTCAACCGCTATTCGAAACTAACTTCTATTTGATAACCTTCGAATCTACTATATATAACTAACCCAGGCCTTAAGCCGATTTTTTTTCTTTTTTGTTCATTTACAAATATTTAATTGAAAAAGTTCCACTTAGAACAGCTTCATTTTTCTACTTATTGAGAATAATTTATTTCAATTAAGGTCATAAAAGTTCTAACAAGCCAATTTCTGATAATAGCCTTTATTCATGTTCCATGATAATAGACTTGATTCTTGGCACATGATGGCGGAATGCACAGTGGCTGAAATTAATGGAGATTAATGTCGAGAGGACCCTATTCCTTCTCTCGAATCAATAGCAATCTTTCAACAAAAGCCCCATATGTTGGTGGTGGCGACCTACTCGCATTTCGTAAAAAAACCTAACTATTTGATAAAAACCTCAACCTATTGGCATGAAATAGAGTAAATTCAAGCAGGACCACTAATGAACTTTAACCATTTACCTTACCTTATGATGATAAATACATTGTGGAAACAAATATTATTGCAAGAATATACTGAAAATAAATCTGGAACATTTATTAAATCTGTGTCAAAAATAATAATAATAAAAAATAGCAATATTCCATAAAATAATTCGCAGAAAAAAAACCAAACAGCCGACCAGCAAAATTACTGCAGTTTAAAGAGGGAAAATTTCCCAAAAAAATGCAAAGAACGAAGCAAAGCTCAACAAAAAATTTAAAACATGAGAAAAATTGAAAATAAACTTTAAAAATTAAAAGTTAGAAATATGCCATTTAAAGCCAAATCAAAAAACAATAGAACAAAAATAACAACAAAAAATGACAAATAAAAACTGAAACCATATTTCATTTTTTCAATGAATGTACATAGAACATAGAACATGAAGAAAATTTGAGAAAATCACTGAAGGGGAAAAAAAAATTACATGATAAAAGTATAATACAAAAGGATTACTTATTATCTATCTTAAACCAGCAAGAAACGGATATACTCGGGTCAAGTGAGCGTACATAATGCCAAAAAGCCTGTGGAATATATAAACAATCTCCTGGTGCTAATATACAGTCATAAACATTGGTCATACCAAAAAGTGGAAATGATAAAAGATCAGGATTTCCAGCATCAACCTTAAAGTTACAAATATATCAAAAGAAATTTCAATGTTGTCAATAATTTCAATATTTACAATGAAAATAAAAATAACCTGTAATAGAATTCAATACATACCTGACTTGTATTTCTCAGAAAACCATCTTTGTTAGGATAAACAAGATGCGTTTGACAATAAGGAATTAACCGTAAAAATTTCCGACCAGATATCTAAGATGTCAAAATATAAGTGGAAAACTGAAAGCTATAAAAATATAATAAATCGATGATAGTCGATTTGAACTAATCACCTAATTCAAATATTTTTCATTTTTCAACAAAACAGCATTGGATTTCTTTCATAATTATATCAAAAAAGCAAAAATAGCCGAGCTTATTTCAACTGAAATTTGGTTCCACTGCAAAAAGATAATCATATCATAAAGATACCAAATTCAATACCAAAAGAAAGATAATTGGAAAAGGCTGCCAATGTTGCAAAAAGCTAGGTTATGCTAATGGCTAAAGTTGATTTTTTTGAACAGAAATATACAGAAATACATGGAAAATATAACTGCAATTTGAAATGATCTCTTATAAACGATTAAAAGATTAAAAATAAAATAAAAAGCCCTTATAGAAATATCGTCTGAATAGCTAATTGCTCATACCTGACAAAAAATATTGCTTTTCGGATCAGTATGCAACGGAGATACAGTATCCGCTGGTCCAATCCAAATATTCAAATCAGTCTTATCGATTCCACCTTCACCAAAAGCGCAATAATCAGGAATAATGATATCATCCAGCAACTGAGGGATTTGATCGAATAATCGGTGCTGAGCGAGGTAACCCATACCGCGATCACTCTATTATGAATCATTCTTAAATATTTCGTAAAATAGAAAAATTAAAGAATTTGGCTAAAACATTCAATATTAAGATTATTACAATTGTTATTCAAAAAAGAAAGAATGAAAATCGAAATAGAAAATCTACTTTCTGCACCAGAAATTCATTAAAAAATTCTGTGAATGTCATTAAAATCTGCGACCAGTCATCATCAGCGTAACTGCTACCGATTTCTATAGGAACAGTTCGATGTCCGATTAAATCACATAAATACTGAAAGCTGCATTAAGACGAATAAATAAAAAATGCTATATTATAGTGCAATATAAACTCAAATAAATTTTAAAATCGAAATAAAGATATTTATAACAAAATATTTCAAATAAAATAGTCTTCCAATATGAAGAACATTTACGACAAAATTAATGAATTAAACGGACAATCTACATAATCTATTTTATCAATCTACTGATAGAATGAACTGAAAAATAATCCCAACAATGGCACCAAAATATTTATCAATAAAATGGCAACAATGTAAAGAAATGCTGGAAATCAGGAAAATCTGATTGAGACAAGAATTTTTCTGAAAAAAAGACCTATTTAAGGACGAAAAACATACTTCCATTTTGAATAAGCAGGCCATTCTGATACAAGACCAGTGAATATTACAGGTTCACCTTTAGCAATTAAGCGGCAAAACTCTTCCAAAGATGGTCGCTCTAATTTTTTAATTGATCGAGAATTCTCCAAAGATCTTGGAATACTAGAAGATGAAATCTACAAAAAAATATATGGAAAATCACCTATGTTCTAAGATCAAACTTATTATATTCTATCTTAAAATATTCTATTTTAAAACCGTTACAATTTACTTTTTCTTACATATGAGATATTTCGAATGTGCGATTTGAAACACTGTAAATTTTACCTCAAACTCATGCTTGACAGCTTCATTGACTCATAAAAGTTTAGCGCTGAAGTATCAAATGAAAAACAAAATATATACTTGCAAAATTTTGTTTGCAATCGGTAAAGGAAGAAGCGAATGTAAATAATGAGCATAATACGATAACGAGAAACCATCAATATCGCCACCCATTATTAAGCCCATATCACAAGCTTTTAGAGCATCCTACAAGAAATGTTCAAAATAAAAATTTAATAAAAATAAAAATTAAAAAAATTAACTAAAATATTTGAGAGTATAACGGCAACCGTGGAAAAAACAATCAATGAATAAAAAAATAAAAAATAACCTTATGATTGCCTGCATAAGCAAGCCGCACAGCTTTACATGCTGAAAATGTTGAATATAGTTCTCGCCATGCATCGTCTACTTTTGCATAATGACCAGTATTTAGTTTTTCCCAAGCAATAGTTAAGCCGAATTTTTCTAATTCAACGCTTCGTTTAAAATTTCCCTGGTTCACAGCAAAAGCACATTCTCGATAAATTCGAATTAATGAATAACCAATAACATTTTTATTTAATGAAAATTGCATGAAAGACAATCGCGGTTTACAGCCTTCCTGAAACATAATGAATTGTAAAATAAAACATTAAAAATGAAAATAAAACTGTTTATTACTAAATAATTTTTGCATTAATATCTTAAAATCTCAAAAAAATATTAAAAATCATTTTTTATTTTTTGAGATTTCTTTAAATATGAATTAAATTATTTTTTTACTTTATTTTTAATTTATTTTATTTATTAATTTATTTATTAATATTATTAACTTTATTTTTATAATTTCTTGAATTTATTTTGAAAAGTTCATTTTGTAAAACAAACCTATAAATTTATAAGAAATTAGCCCAATTGTTTTTTTTTCAATTTTATGTTCCATTTTTCTTCATACTTATATTTTTTCTCATTTTTATTTAAATTGATTTAATTTGTTATGTATGGATTTATGCTATGTTTGAGTTATTTCAACAAAGCAAAAAAATTTTATTTTTATTTTATTTTAAATGTATTTATGAATATTTTTCCAAAATTTTTCATTCTTCTTCAACGTTTAAATTCTTAAACAAAAAATAGTCTACAAATTATAAATTATTATAAATTCTACAACTAATTTTATGTATTTATTTTCATATGAATAAATGGTGAGAAAAAAAGGATGAAAAAAGGATAAATAACCTTCGTTTCACCAATAATTCTTTTAATTTCTAATAAAATGGAACAATTATAATTATCATCGACGGTGAGAGAACAATTTTCCTCATTCCAAATTTTTAATGAATTAATTCGATCGTTTCGAGGAATATGTACCATGAGCTAGAATCATGAAATTAACATTAATTAATATTATTATATATATTTTTTCTAATATTTTTAATACTATTTTTTTACAACATTTGTAATATCAATATTGTTTTCTAAAGTTACTTTGAAATTTTCAATCAAACCTAAATTTCTAAATTCACCGAAACTAATAGTCACCTGATGTAATTCACCATTGAACACAAAACTGTCCTTTACACAAATGAATCCATATTTTCGAAAAAATTCCGAAGCAAGTGCATTTGAGAAGATAACAAGTATATACTGAGGGAAATTTCGTTCACATATGTGAACTGCACGAGCAAGTAGGCTTTCGCCTAATCGCTGACCACGATAAACCTAAAATCTTATCAAAATAAATTTATGTTGAGATGAATTAATTTTTTTAAAAATTAATTTTTTATTAGATTTAGATTAAATATTTTTAAAAATACTAAAAATTTTTAAAAAAATATCGTAAAAAATTTTCTTCTTATAATAGCACGCATCATTTCATTTCTGATTTGGCTAGTTCCATTCGTTACTACTAAAATGCCTTTCCAGATCACCTGAAATTAACTGAAGCCACTAAAATTTCTACAAACCCTGTGGCTAAGGTTTTAATCGTTATCTCGGAGAGGTGCGCTAGTGGCTTTCAATTGGCTATAAGATATATGGAACCAAAAAAAATGATTTTCACCTTTGATACAGCGAACTGGTCGAGTTTTATAAATGGCGGAAGGCAATGTAAACGACACACAGCAACCGCTTGAGAAGACTGAGCAGATTTACGAAGAGCGACGATATGGAAGCATTCAGAATCGTCAATTTCTGGATTTTCAGCTATTTTTAACTCATCGCAGAAAACTTCACGACGAAATCGACAACTTTCCTTTAAAAGATCGAGTCGTTCATTCGCATGAAAATCGACAATTTCATAAATTTCATCATCCATTTCTAGAAAATTATCATTTTTATCAGAAAAAAGATAACACACGTGGGAATTACGGAAGAAAATGCTGGCTGACTAGCTGAAGAGAATATGCCTCTACCCTTATGTGACTTCATAAGAAGCGAAAATAATAGAGACAGGAATGAAGTACAGGAATGAAGGAACAAATGAAGTTTCGATGACGAAGCTGAATTATAATGAAGCAAAGCTAAATTTAAGTCGGATAGATGGCAAACCAAATTTCCATCCCATCGTCCCCCCCCCCCCCCACCCCTACCTCTTCCAATCCGCTCCCCTTCACACCCCTCAACTACAAAATACGAAATGGCTAAACCCGTCCGCAAAAAATACAAATGTAGCAGCACAAAAATATAAGAATTTATTATAAATCGAAGGGTCATAGGTCAATATTTGATTGATAAACTTACTGCAAAAGTTTTATTGTTTTTAAAAGATAAAGAACACTTGTTATTGCGGTTTTTATTATTAAATGACAGTTGTGCATGCATATGACAATGATTATTAACGAAATGCTCAGCATTTTGCATCAAATTTTCAGTTGCTCTCCAGTTTTTCATCTCCTCATCTGTTAACAATGTCTTTTTTTTCCTAAAGATTGGTTAGTTCCACAGGTCACAGTGCAGAAACTCTTCCATCCGAGACTCACTTGGATAGAAGCGTAGATGAGTATTGCAGAGTACCATCTGAATTTCACTTTTAATGATGTGTTTAATCTTATCAAAAAGCGGAAATTGGTCTCAGTACTCGACTTTGAGGATATTACTTGAATGTCCACCCCATCTTTCCCTCACCGAGAATATAGTATGCATTTACCTACTTGTAATTTAAAATTTTTATTAATTTTATTAATTTTTAGGTAATTTGGAATTGTTTATTTAAATAGGCGTATTATTATTGTTGCCATTATTATATTATAATTATTATTATTAATTTTGTAAACACTTATTATTACTTTTATTAACATATTGTTTCTGAATCAATAAAAAATAAAATATTAAATAATGATGACAATAGTAATAATAATAATAGTAAAAACTATAACATTAATAACAATAATAGCATTAATAATAATAATAATAACAATAATAATAATAGTAATAATAATAATAATAGTAACAAAAATATTAAAATTCCAATATATTTTTCTCATCGTTTTGTGAATAAAAAGTTTTAAAAAATATTTAGAAAAATTCGATTTTTTCTTTTTATTTTTCAAGTTTTTGAATATAAAAATATAATAAAAATAGAAAATATTTAAAAATTTTAGAGACGATTTTCCTTTTTGCAAATTATTGAATAATTTTTAAATTTTTTATTGAATCCTCAATGCAATAGTTGAAATTTGTTGAGAGAATTATGTAAAAAGAAATAAGAAAATTTTCAAAAAAAAGTCTATTTTCACATTAAAATTATTCCCATTTATGGCCTAAGATTTCTTAAGTTCCTTAATAAAAAATTATCCCTCTGGCCTTCCTATGAAATGGCGAATGACCCCTCTGGAATTCTTATGAAATAACGAATGATTCCTCTGGACTTCTTATGAAATGACGAATGACTCCTCTGGACTTCCTATAAAATGACGAATGATCCCTTTGGACTTCCTGCGAAATGGCGAAAGATTCTTCTGTGCTCTTTATGAATAAAATGAAGAATTATTTCTTTTTCTCCAACTTCTAACGCAATGAACTGTATTCGACTGAATGAAGAAGAGTCTGAAAGGAGTGAAAGGAAAATTTGTAAAATAAATCTTTAATATGGAAAGTAATGGCAAATTTAGGCTTTTATTGATGTCCATCGTTATTTACACAGTACCATGTGGTCCAATAGTGCATCCACAGACCTAAAATCTCTGTCGCTAGATCGAGAATGCGATAATGCTACTTGTGAAGCTGGTAGACTATGGCCATGTAAGAATGAGTCTAAACACTCTTTTGTCAGAAAACATCCTATCTCTTGTAGAAATCTTTTTATTTTTTATTTCCTAGGTTCTCCATTTTGCACCTCGACTAATTCACCTGCGTAACGTAACAAATATATCGGTTCATGCCGAGGTGTCTGCTTTCTTTCACCATTACTGGTTAGGCTGCCTCCGCTGGCTATAAGGGTAAGAAGTTTCCAAGCTGCGCGGCCTGAAGCTGTTTCCCTTTTTCATCGTCTAAGTCCGTATATTGCTGGTCCACCTATTATTCTGACTGTATCAGTCCAAATTTTGATTGGCTCACCACGCCACCCATCACAGGATTTAGCAAGTAACAAAATATGTGTTAAACCGTATTTTACTCTTGCGATGGGCGCCGAAGAACATGCCCTAACCAGCGAAGGCGATCCTTTGTGGTGATCAATAAAAGCGGAGGCTATGCTCTCATGCTATCTTTTTAATAAGCATAGGCCATAGTTATATTGACATAGTCGGATGATATATTGCCTTGATCGAAGTAACTATCATGGTTTGATTCCTGCCTGCTGAGTAAACCTGTTGCTGGCTTAAAATTGAAGTCTGGATAAATGCATATGTATTTCTTATTGTCTCTATGCTGACAGGATCTCATATTAGCAGACAATACCTATTAGCAATCAAAAGGCATCCAGACGAAAATTAAGGATTATGTCAGGGAATGTAATTAAACTGCCTTCTAATATAGTTTAGTATCACAATATAACCGATCAAATGCTATATCGCATCTGAAATTTAAATGGCACCAATGATAAAGCCATTTAACGGTGATAAAAAAAATATTTATTGGTATATTTTCTAAAAAATAAGAATTAAAAATTTGTTTATCTCTAAATTTGAAAATTTGGCACACAAATTTATCAATAAAATTACCAGTTTCATTAATTTTTTCGTTTTCTTTTTTTATTCTTTAATCACTTGAAAATAAGATTTTATTACAATTTATTTCGTTCATAAAAATATACATTTTTCGTCTAATTTCTCTCATATTTTAATTATTATCAGTTCAATAAGTCTTTTTTGATAAGAATTTTTTTTTGAATTCTAATTTTAATTTTTTTTATTATAAATATTTTATTATTATAAATATTTTTTTAATGGTAAATTATTTTTTTACTAAAAAATCATTAAATTAAAGCATCGAATAGAAAATATTTTAATAATTTTAATTCATATTTTCGATTATTTCTCTCAGTTTTTATTTGTTTATAAATTTTCCATGAATAATTCGAAAGTTATTTGGTTAATGTTAATATTAATAACCTAAAAATGACTTTAAAAAATTATGCAAAAATAAGAAAAAAGAAAAAAAGAAATTGAAAATGATAAAAATGATAATATGACAGTAACTGAAGATAAATAAAATGATAACTAGTAATAGCTTTTTTTTTAAAATATCTCATCATTTTCTGACTTCAGTGGCAGATAAAATTTTTGCGAGAGATTTATCTAAATGTCGCGCAATAAATTAAATTTTCGATCTTTTTTGGTTTTTCCTAAAAAATGATAAATTTTTGAATGATTAAATGATAAAAAAAAATTGGCGAACAAGCAAAAGGATGTTATTGGCGGATTGCATGCAAACAATTGGTTCAGCAAAATCCCTTTTTTGGATTATTCGAAATCAATTTATGGCTTTCGAATGTAAAAACTATGAAAAATTCTTTCACTTATCGCTATTTTATAAATTAATTTTTTTAAAAATAATTTCGAAATTTAATTTTTTAAATAAAAATTATGAATTTAAATTTAATTTATTTAATTTAGAATTAATTTCCTCGATTATTTTTCACTTTATTTTTGCTTTACGTCGTCATTAAATTGAATGTCATCGGGATGTAAAGTTGATGAGGATTTTTTTAAATCCATTATTCCACTAGGACTATAATCGCTACATGTATGTGCATGTATGTGTGTCTACGTGTGTGTATGCGGGTATGTGTGTGGCTTTCGAATATAAAAACTACAAAAATTCTTTCATTTGTCGCTATTTTATAAATTAATTTTTTTATAATAATTTCGAAATTTATTTTTTTAAATAAAAATTAAATTTACAAATTTAAATTTATTTAATTTAGAATTAATTTGCATGCATGCATACATGTGTGTATATGTGTATGTATGTGTGCTTACATGTATATATGTACATATATATACATATGCATGTATGCATATGTGCATGTGTGCATGCATATATGCATGCTGTATGTGTGCATGCACAGATGGTATTTATCATTTTTTCACAAAAATATAAATATGCTCATTTTTTTCTTTTTTTTTCTAAAATATTGTAATATATTGTCTCAAATTTTTTTCATAGTCTTTACACCACTTTCCACTTTTTATTTGTATTTATTTTACAAATATTTTTAAAGTCGAAATTATTTTTGAAATAATTTTTAAAATATTCATATGGGTCGGATAGCCGAATGCTATATGTTTGCTTCGATTAAGATTAATTATCACTCACTTATAAGAATTGGAATAGAATAGCCGAAGTGCGAATGCTGCATGGGAGATTCGCTGTACATCCATTCATCCACCAGTGATTCGCTGACAATTGGTTTCTGAAGCCAATAGCCAGCAGAGCCGCTCAATCCAGAAATAATGCATATTGCTAGTGGAAGAAAAATAAGAATAAGCAAATTTTGAAAATATCGTCTTTTATGAGAAATCGCTTCATTGAAAATTTTTTTAATAATTATAGTTTAATTTATATTTATATAATAATATTTTAATAATAATTAAATGAACTACCTATTTCTATCTCTATGCAGAAGAGCGCATTATAAGGAACAGCCAAGATACTGCGCAGAACCCTCGATCTCCTAGGCCTCCGGCAAAGCACCCAACGTTGAGAATGATTGTGACCACCCATAGGAAGAGGGAGGAGAAATTGAGAGCTCTTTTTTCATTGAGTAATTATAATTATATTTCTAATCATATTAATAAATTTATAAAAAAAAGAGTTGTAAATTATAAAAAGTTTTTTTTGGAAAAAAAGTTGCAATTTATTTTTAGCTTTAAAATTTTTTAAATATCGCATTAATGATAAATTTAGAATTGCATAAATCGAACGAAACAGCTAAATAAATTTTCAGGAGAAATATTAGAAAATAAGACGGAAAAAGGATCGAATAAAATAGCCTCTAAAACGAATTCGTCGAGCAAATAGCACAGTTTTATGGAAAATATCGCCACTTTGAGAGAAAAGTAAAGTAAAGTAAAGTAAAGTAATTCGATGAATCCAATGGATTTTAGCATAGAATGAGTGAGTGAAAAAGGAAGAATTGAAATTGAAATGAATTCCCCGTCTTCGAATTTCAAATCGATTCATTATTTTTGCTTATTTTTTATACTACGAAAAATATTAATAAAATATGCATAAATATGTTTGATTCGCTTGAAATATTAATAACGAAAGAGGAGTAAAATCTCATTTCGAAGCGTCGGTGATTCCGTGATTCCGTTTCTGATAGGAATAAATCTGCAGTGCACTTAATGCGGTGATCCAGAATAGTGCGGTGACTCTCATTCATTTTTTCCACCTGGTGACTCCTCTCGTAAAATTTATCCAATCTTACAAGCCAGCGGAATGAGTCAAAAGGAAAGTGGTATGCATAGAAATTTGGCGGGGAGGGAAATGAGGAGAGAAGAAAAATCAAATAAAGATAAGATATCGGTTCTGATTTGCTTTTTCCTCTCTTCTAAACATTTCTGCTTTGATAATTGCATTGGCTTCTGGACTCGCGCTGCTTCGCTAGAGAATTATTTGCCCTCAGAGATACAGGTGAGTTCCAAGCACCGATTGGTCAAAAGCTTTATGTTGTTTGCTGCCAAGCATCGTAAAATTCCAAGCATCGTAAAATTCAATCTTCTAATTCTAATTTGAACCATTCTGGTAGAAAAAAAGAAATAGAATCCTCACGTGGAAGGAAGAAAATTTCGCTCGCACTATTTTACAACGCTGAATGTTCATTTTGTTTAATTCTGGTGGTGTGGTGCCGACTTATTCAATTCTTTAATTGCCATTTATCGCCACCACTTTTTATCCGTCTTACTTATTTCTATCATATGGCAGTGTTCTTGCATTTTGCACTTATTTTTAGTGTTTCTTGAGATGAGATATTTCCACTTATGAGAAACGAAAATGGATTTATTGAAGGATGGAATGGCCTCGTGGTTTATTACTTCGACTGTGGCTAATCATTAATTAGTTTGATTTCTGATCCTCGACAGGAGCGATCCAAGTAGTGTTGAGGGCCCCTCCGTATTTCTCCAGTCTCCTCGATTCTCTCTGCCTAGAGAAAAAGCCTGGCTATTTAGCTATTATGTGGCAGATAAACCAAATTTGGTGAGTTCTGGTAGAAAGAAGAGAAGAAGGATAAGCCATGGTAAGGGATCACAATTAAGCAATTACTTCGATTATTCTTCCATCGATATTCTTCTTTTCATCAATTTCATTATTCCACTTCAGTAATTTTTCCTTTAATGTCCTTAATTATCATTTATCATTCATTTATCACTTTGAATTCTTGTTTTTCTTTTATCAATTTCTTTAAATTTCTTTAAATTTCATTTTTTATTTTTATTCAAATATTTATTCAAATTTTTTAATTTATTTTATTTTTTATAACAGATTAAAGTTATTTCGTGATTTATTTTCAGTTTTTTTTTTCATTTATTTTTAGTTTGGTTGTTTATTATATCTATTCGATATTAGTCTGTAAAATTTAGAAAAACGAAAGTAATATTTTAAACAAATAACCTACGCCAGTCAGTCATATATTATTGGATTATGGTACTAAGTACCAAAGGAAACTGAAGCTGAATCGTATTTTGCCTCGGATGAGTGCAAACAGCATGGGTTCTGTTCATCTATACTGATAATGAATTGGTTAATAATAGTAAAATAACTGGGGATGCGTGGGATCAACTTCGATTGTATATTAAATAATTTTTAGGCAAACAAGTGTCTTAGTGATGAGCCAAATAAATCACAATTAATGTATGCTATTTAAAAGAAGAAAAGTTGTTTAGCATTTTTTTCCTGCAGCTATATTATTTCCGTCTTAATTTTTTTCTTCTTTCATCCTTTGAAATATATCATTTCAAAAGATCGATTGTGGTACCATAAGCACAATAGAATTTGAATATTTTCAGCTATTTTTTGCATAAAATATAGAATTTTATTTTTTCCTCTCGAATTCATCTCTATTTAACTAATTATTGCTTTTATTAATGTCGTTTTATTTTGATAAGGTGATAATTCTTAATCAATAGTCAATTTATGCTTAAATTTATGCTTTATTTCATTCATCAGTTTTAGAACGCATTCATTCTTAAGTAATTGCTGTCGCCTTAATCGTCAGTTATATTATTATTGACGTATTTCTAGTAATTAGAAATTATACATATTTGGAGCTTTTAAATATTTCATATTTAAGGGCTTATTTCAAATTTATTTGCGTTTTTCTCGAAAAATGTCATTTTCCATTAGTCATAAAATGTTAACTTTCATTAGCCATAAATAGATAATTACATTTAAGATTTCTTTTTTTGATTAATTTTTATTTAAAATTTTGTTTCATAAATTATTCATGTATTTCAGTATTTGATTATTTTGTATTATTTACATAAATATTTTTATAAATATTTTTCAAATTCCATTATATTACAAAAAAGTTTAACAGCAATTATTGATAATAATCTCGGTTCGATTCCAATTTATTCAAATTATTATTATTACTATTATTATTATTATTAGTAATGTCTTTACTAGTATTATTATTTCATTGTTGCTAAAACGAACATATGACGTTTCTTCAGCTCCTTTATGAAATAAAATGAAAACAATCGAGTTTTAAGCGTTTAAAGTGAGTTGCTGTGGTATGTAAAAATGTAGAAAGGCTCAATAGGGTGTCACTATCGCTTGGCAGCAGCGATGATAGAGTCAAATCCCAGCAGGAGCAAAAAAATCCTAGCCGGGTGGTGCTGACGAGTATTCTGCCGTCGAATTATTCCTTGGCAACGCAGTCAGCCTAATCAGAAAGGAAAATGAATCCTTATGTTATAAAGGTGATTTCACTATGCATGTTAATGAATTGTTTTCTTTGGCATTTATTAATTTCCTTTTCATAATAATATTAAATTTATTATTAAGGGTGTGTTATCGAACATTTTTAAAATCAAATTTATTACTGTCGAACGCGAATTAAATGCTATTTTTACGGTTTCCCACTGAATTTTCGCTATTTTATTTGTGATTCTTCGTGAATAAAAAAAAGTTTTTGCTTAATCCGTTCGTTGAAAAGTTGGTCGTCGTCGAAAAATTATTGCATTTTGTCGTTTTTTCTCGACTTTTATAAATATATTGGTTAAAGCCGAAAAGAGGAACGAACGACGAAATTCATTCTCAATTTTCTATTGTTCGAAGAATTTTTTATATTTTCCATCTCAACTCGTTTATTGTTGCCAATTTGAAAGTTCGACTAGTGGAGAATTATTGGCGAGAAATTTTCTTGTTTTTTATGCGCTTTCACTGATAATTCTAATTATTATGTGCGAAACTCAAGAAGATTTGCTAAATGAATTTAATGCGTCTGCGCGAACCGGAAGACGGAACGCCGTTCCCGAGGTTGACGTTCAGGGAATCGATTCGGAAGCTATTAAATTAACTGAAAGGATATCAAATATGGAGGTTTGCGCGGCGAATGATACTTCTTCGACGACTAATACATCGAATTTACAAACAGGTTTTACCGTTTTTTTTCGCTCATCATTCTCATTTAAATTTAAATTTTTCAATTTCCTTCATTTTTATTGCATCGATTTCCATTAATCGATGGTATTAAATCAAAAATTTTAATTAGTCGTTTTGTTTTATTTCCTAACAAATCTCATCGGTTAAGGGGTTTGTGTCACCGTCAATAATTGCTTCCTTCAATGTATTATTTTCCGGCTTTGGATTCTTTTTTTTCTCGATTAGTCGGCCTTGGCGATATTTGAAACATGCAATCTCTTCCAGCAAATCCTCCTCCATCTTAGGAATGCCTTCCTTGGATGAACATTTCAAAATTCGTGTCCTCAAGTGACTTTCTAATTTGCCTCAGATCATCACGCAGTTAGTCTGTGGTGCAAGTAAACTCGCAAAACGATTCACAATATGCTGCTAGAATATAGCAATATGCTGCTAGCTAAAGAAGATTTCATGCTATATGATTATTTTAGAAATTTTATCAAATCAATGATAAGAATTTGATAAGAGAATATTATGAATAATATTGCTATATTCTATTCATTTTCGCAAATTGAATTGAAATTTTTAATTTATATTCATAAATTGATTATGTCGAAAATATTTTGCTTAGAAATAGAAAAATATCTTTAATGTTTAATCTAAAATTATCACCTTAAATATTCAAATTGCAAAGGAAATGATTAAAAGAAAAATCGTTATGTGAATGCATGGTTAGATAGATATACGGTAAACGGGGTCGTATATTCCTTCTCATCTCAAATCTCTTGACAATCCCTTGTTAGTTAACCTGTAATTAAGAAAGCAATCTAGTCGAGTGCAGACTGCTGGAAGACAATCCATATCTCTAATCCCAGGCGACTTGTTCGGCGAAAATATTTTCCGCTAATAGTCAGCGAAGCCAGACAAATTAAGAATGGTCTAAGAAGAATATATAAAATGTACGTAAAATTTTATAATATTAAGAAATTAATGTTTTTATAGACATTTCTAGATCGACGAATAATATGTTTAATTTCAGGAAAGTCACTATCAGAAGATAAATAAATGCAAATTTCAATGAGATTAGATAGAATTGTGAGGAACATGACAGATCGTTTGTGAATCCAATGTGACTGACTGACTGACTGATTGATAGCTCAACAATTAAAGTGCCCAATAGCAGTTGGCAAATCCATACTGGCAAATATGAGATTATGAACACAAAATTGTGAACTAATTTCTTTGTTTTTTTTTATAATTTCCTTGTTAAATCTCATTTATTCATGGTACTTATCAGTTTTCTAATTTCTTCTATTTGTTATTTTCTATTCATCGAAAATCTAAATCATTTTCATTTCATTTCAAACATCATTAATTGATGAAATAAGTTAAATTGACTATTAAAATGATTTTTGCTTAATTATTGCCAATTTTCAGTCGTCTATAATGTAATAATAATAATAATAATTGTCAACAAAGATCACTGATCGGTGTACTTTAACAGGTCAGATCAGTTCTAAAATCTCAACATCACTCCTATTATCATATTGCTTTTAATAGATGATGTTATCAGATGAAAAATCGAGAGATACTAAGCCATCTTCTTTTCAACTATTACTTTCAGCTTTCTTAATTAATATTGGAATTCCTAAAACTCCTTCTTTATTAATTTTTCTTCAATTCTCATTCCCTTTTTTTCATTTTTTTTTAAATTTGAAATTCTGCAAAAAGATTTGATACTTTAATATGAAAAGAATGAAAGAAAAAACTCAAGAAAACTAGTCTTTCCCAATTAAAAAAAAGTAATTTTTATGAATTTTTTCAAATTAATTTTAAAATTTATTTAAATTTGACGAATCCCTTAGTCACTCTGTTGAATTGTAAAATTTTTTTCGAATTATTAATAATAACAAAAAATCTTAATTAAATTCTAAAATTTTGATTCATTTGATTTGTTTTTAAAATTTTGTTTTACGAAATTATTCATATAAATTACTTTAATTTTAGCTAAAAAAATTTGTATTCTAATAATTTTTCATCCGTGAAAATTTTATTAAAATTCTAGAATTTTATTTCCTTTCTCGCTTTTTCATTTTGTCGTTCAAAAATTTTTACGATTTATTTTTAATTACTTTAATTATGAATAATTAAATTTGAAAATATATTTGTTATTTGTTCCTTTATCGAATATATGCAATTCGCCTATTCAGTTTTATTTTTCTTTACATATATATTATTTATTATATATTGCATATATGTTGTTTAAAACTGAAATTCAGTGTGCTTAGTGGTTCTGAGTGGTACTTACATCTTATTGAGTGGTACTCGTACTCTTTAAAATATATCCTCGAACCCCAGAAAATTATTTACTCAAATTATTGATATTATTGCTGATATTAGTTAATTATCCATTAACTAAATAGGTACGAGTGTAATTTTTAGAATCGATTCACCGACGGAAATCCTAATTGGCGTCAATGGACCTATTCTCCACGAACCCCTCTTAAAACTTAGAAACCACTCTTTAATAGAAGAAAGCTTCTATTACATCTAATAACTATTGAAACATTATGCTTTAATCAAATATTATTGCTGGAAAGCAGAAAATAAAGAACTAAGTTCTCTATCAGTTTTGCATAGCAACAAACCTATTTTAAGTCGATTTACATGCATCCGATAAATATACATACATATATATATTGAAAATATTTATAATTTTCCCTCATAAATTAAATGGATATTCTGGGAAGGCTAAATTAATTTTCAACATATCACTATTTCCTTTCAATCCGCTTTCGGTCCCTGAAAAGTTTTGTCGTACTTCCTTTCAAAGTCAAAAAAAAAATTTGGAGTTTTCCAAAGAAAAATAAAATAAAACACGAGAACCACGATGGTTTCGAATTTTTTCACCAAGTTTCACCAACAAATAAAGCATTTTAAGAAAATATAAAATATAAATATCACCAAAAAGAAATCAAAAAATAAATTTTAAGAGGAATATACGAGATTCTTTGAAAAAAAAGAAAAATTTTTCGGAGAATTTTTATCATTCGACAGAGAGTCGAATGGCGAAGAGTTATAAAATCGTTACAACGATGAGCAATAACTAAACTAATTTACTCGAAATGTCAATAAATACAATAATTTTTCATATAAAAACTTTTTGTAAAAATTTTTTTATAAAAACACACCAAAAAAATAAAAATAATTCAATTTTAATATTATTTAAACCAAAAATCTTTACTTAACCAAAAAAAAGTAATTACTTTTATTACTTCGAAAGAATTCCAATGAAAAATTTTCCTAAAATTTTCTAATTTATAATAAATATAAAACAAGGAAATTATGGAAAATCAAATCGAATAGAATTAGTTATTTTGCATGAAAAAAAGGAAAATAAAAATTATAAGATAAGGTGGTTTTATAGTTTGCGAGTTCCTTCTGAATATTTCCATATTTTAGGATTTAAGGATCAAATAAAGAAATATTTTATGAAAATAGAAAGAATAAAGCATTAAAAACGAACAAAGTTTGTTCGTACATTAGTTATAATATTCAAAAAAACTGTTAGATTAAAATTTATTTTGCTTAAAGCATGAAAAAAAATAAATATTAGTTAAATTAAAAATTAAATCAGATGATTGAAACAAATTTATAAAAAATCTTATCTTATCAATTTCTAAAAATCAGAAAAATCTTATCAATTTTTTATCAGCGATAAAATTATATCCTGACGATCACCTAAATTACCTAAAAAAATTTCGAGAAAAGTGCGATAAAAAACAATTATTCAATCATCGTCGTTATTTGAGCAGTATATACAATTTTGATTAGCAAAATAATTAAGCATTTAAATCAAAATCAAAATTAAACATTAGAAAATAAATGATTGATAAGAGCAAAATATTAGTTGATGACCACAAAAAAAATGAATGATGATAAATGATTAATAATATCAGAAATAACAAATAAAAAATATAAATAATAATAAAAACAATTATATTAATAGTCATAGTGATTAATTAATAGGTTATAGAAGATTATGCTCTCGTATGAAGTGGTAGAATAGACTGAGAATCCTCTTTGAGTTTTTCTGATGGTTCTGGTTCCAAATTATCCGGTAATTTTGCGCGGTCAGTTTTCGGAAAAACAATAAAGGCAACAATAAATTCTAAGAATAGCAGAACCCCGCATAAACCCATCGTTCCAGCAGGATACGCTGCATATAAACCGCGAGCCTTAAATAAACTTTACCAACTGACTTTATGTGAGCTTTTAAGAGTTTTTACATACAATTCACTGCGTCAGATTAACGTGCTATATTGAATTGAATTTAAATATATAAAAACAATTTAGCCATTTCCTTTGATGCGGACAGAATTTTACAAAAACCATATACACTTTCGTTCAAATAGCATGAGCAGTGGTTTTGACATATCTACGCTTTTCATCGAAATGAATAGACACATCGATATATGTCAGCATTGTGATGAATGACGTAAAGTGCTAGATTAATATGGTGGAAATAGGCTTCGAACATAAACGCATCAACGATATTTGGCCAATTTGGCTGGGAAAAACTCGCTTCAGCCATAAGAGACAACATAATCGGCAACTTACCGAAGGAGCTAGAACACTTCCGATACGTGCTCCACCTTGACAAAAGCCACGAGCAGTATTTCGCACCGATGTTGGAAACAATTCTGTAGTATATAAATGAAGCACTTTCCAGTTCGGATCCAAAGCCGAAGTCATCAATATGGTGAGAGCAGCTATCTGCAAAATTTTTCTATCATTGCAATTCTCACCACAAAACAAAAAAAACCATCGTTTTTCCATCGCCAATTTTCCCTCGAGAGATGAAAAATATTATTGACAAATGATAAACGAAAAACTAACAAGAGCTCCAATACGAAAAGCCGGAACAATTAATATGAGAACCAAAATAATGTTTGCAGCTAATGCAACACCAGTCGAAAGCAGAAGAATCGATCTTCGTCGCAAAAATCTTCCACAAATAAAAGGGATCAAAGCCAGAATCGATTTTAGCAAGCCAAGCGCAAACAAATTCGAATATCGATCACCGGGCAAAATCGAAGAATTGAAATAACCGGCAAATGATACAAAACTCGATATCAGAAAACAGTAGAACAGTGATAGCAGCGGCACAACTAAAATAAAAATTTTACGCAAAATTAGACCAATAATTTTCTTTTTTTTAAACAGACTTTAAAAGTTTTAAAAAATGGTCTTTCCGGCCGAAGGAACTTAATTCCGACCATAATTTTCGATTAATTTCTATGTCATTAAAAAAAGAAATTTCGCTGTATATTAAATCAATTTAAAAGAAGAAACAAACCGATTAGTCGATTTTTAAACAAATCACCATAGGTGACTTTCTTCGGTTGCTTTTCATGAGGTACCTCTGACTGCTCCGCATTATCCTATAATTACTTTCAGTTTCATAATTCTTGCATCTTAAATTATCAGACGCATTGAGGAATAGAAGCATTAAACTTCCCAGTAAACATTGGAAGAACAAAACAACTGGCAGCCCTTTTCCGATCTGAGGTTCTTGTCAAATTATCAGCCAAATATTATCACATTTTGCGAGAGATTCATAGATCCTACGCTTGAACCAAATAATAAATAAAACCTTTGCGTTTATTGCGATGGAATCAGGATCGACCATTTTCTCATTTGGAGTTTTTGCAATAAAAGCTGCTTTAGTTTCCTCATTTCCCGTTGAACAATTATTCTGTCTCAACCAACTTTTGCTTTCTTTTGCCAGGAAAAACTAAAATTCATATTTTCTCTTTTAACAATTATTATTTAATATTTGTCAAATTATTCAATTCAAAATTTCGCTAAATTTTTGGTAGAAAAAGAAAGAATTTACTAGAAGAACGGAAAAAACGATTCCCAGTAGAGCGAGAGTCATATGATAAGCGAACCAGTAACGAGTAAGATAAGCGATTACAGCCATAGCCGACATTGCCGGTGGAAACCCATTCAACGAGACGATCAGTAAACGAGAGCGTGCGTTTTCAACTGCTTCGACCATTAATACGATATTCACCACCATGTAACCACCGGATGCGGCGCCCAACACAAAAAATATAAATCCTGAAGAAAGCAGATTAATTTTATCTCCCTAGGAGCAACCCAATTTTGGCTGAATTGTGCTCCGTTAGCTTGTCGTAAGTGATAAATTTTGCTAGGGAGTCATTTAGCGATTAGAAGCACGGGTGAGTCGCCGAATCGCCAGACTACACGGATCTTAATAGGTTTAAACGAGCTTATTCGATCAAACTTTTCCATTTACCTGCCAATATCCAACTGTAACCGCCAAAGAAACACAAGCATAAATTGCAAAATGCAACAACGACCATACACCCTGCAAAAAAATTAGAGGCGATTTATTTTTAACCCCAAATCTGCATTAAAATTTAAAATTAATACAATAAAATAAAATAATAAAATAAATAAATAATAAAATAATATTAATTTACAAATTTGTATGCATGTGAATCGAAAAGTATATATTTGCATGCCTGGAATAATCGTACGTTACACAGTCACCTCTATATAAACTCTGTTAATTTACTGAGGAATTTCTTTAAATTTCCTTATTTGCTGCCCGAGAAAAATTAGCCACAAACCTTCGTAAACTTGAAAATCCCTCATAACAACAAAATTTTATAATTTTAAATTAAAATTGATATTTTTATATATTATAATGATTTTAGAAAATAATTGAATAGAAAATAATTTTTCTATTTTTCATTCAATTTTTACATATAATTTTATTAAAATTTTTTAAAATTTAAACAACTTTTGCAAATTTTGCAAAAAAATTTCTATCAATTAATATTTTTTATGTTGATATTAACAAAATAAAAAATAATTTGCTAAATATTCTCCAAATAAATGATGCGAAAATGAATCATGAAAAGAACAAAAGTGGAAAACGAACAAACAGTAGTTTTTTTGCGTCCAAATTTATCGGAAAAAAAGCCAGAAATAAATGCACCACACATTGCACCAAACATCACAGCTGTTGACAGAACATCGATTAACGTGAATACCCAAACGATTGGTGAATTTCGCTCAATTTTCCATTCGCTTAACAACGACCGAAAAGTACCACCATCCTTATCAATCTTTAACAATATCTATCAGTTATTAACAGATAACAGAGATGGTGGAATGAAGTCGCATTACGCCAACCTATGGCCACAGTTCTTCAAACACAGCATTAAGCACTGCCTTCTGATGTACTTCTTCATAAATTATTTATATTTTTTAATATAAACATATTCTATTTTTCCACCTCAACGATTCGATTTGCTTTTGTTCCATTAATCTGCCAATGTTTTTACTCACAAAGATATTTGGTGTGTAAGTGGCTCAGTGATAAGATAACTGTCACCAAGAACCGAGGCTTGGATTCGAATCCACCGACGCACCATCCTTGCTTCGTCGAGCAGAAGTGACGTGCCACCCAACGAAGAAAGCAAAGCAGAGGTTCAATGGCTCAATGAGTTGTTGCGTAATTCGGAGCGCAGATGCTGAGATTCTACTCTCAGCAAGCGTAAAAGCTCTCCTTCAACCTGTACCTCCATTTATCGCCAACTCCCTGGTAAATTTGTCTAATCCGACAAGCAAGCGATCCACACCGTGACAGTGGTAAGCGTTGTTACAAAAATAAAATTTTGCTAGGAAAAACCGTAACAGTAAAAACTGTAACCGTCAATAACTGCCAATATTTTTACTTATAGGAAAACACTGCCAATATTTTTACTTATAGGAAAACACTGCCAATATTTTTACTTATAGGAAAACACTGCCAATATTTTTACTTATAGGAAAATACTGCCAATATTTTTATTTATAGGAAAATACTGCCAATATTTTTACTTATAGGAAAATACTCCAATATTTTTACTTATAGGAAAATACTGCCAATATTTTTACTTATAGGAAAATACTGCCAATATTTTTACTTATAGGAAAATACTGCCAATATTTTTATTTATAGGAAAATACTGCCAATATTTTTACTTATAGGAAAACACTGCCAATATTTTTACTTATAGGAAAACACTGCCAATATTTTTACTTATAGGAAAACACTGCCAATATTTTTACTTATAGGAAAATATTGCCAATAGTTTCACCTGCGCGAAATACTGTTTTTTCCAGTATTTTTCACTGGAATAATAAATTTTCTTACATAGTATTTCTTTTTTTCCTTATAATACAATTTCAATTGCCTTTTTATTAATTAAACGAAGTGGTACGGTAATCGAAGAACGGTGAATCGTTGAAAAAATTGTTACCTTCGATGGATCGAAGAAATTCGACGAAAGCAGACTTCCAACGATGGGAATATAAGCGATCGTTGTTAAAATAAATAAAATAATTTGGTATTTATGGAAATCGGAAGCGATTGCACCTTTTTCGCGCATTTTTTCTTTCAATTTAATTTAAATTATTAATTTCTAAAAAATTAATTTACGAAATAATTAATAAAAAATTTATTTATTTATAGAAAAATATTTAAAGTTCGAGCGGAATTTTGCTAAATAAAATAAAATTCTCCTTAGTAACACAAAATCAATTTCTTCCACGATTACGATGACGACACAACGAGAAACGCATCAAAGTTCAATTTGAAATGCAATTTTTCTATCAATAAATATTTATTAGTATTTATTATGAAAATAACTCGTAATGCTCGGCCAAAGTAAATAAAAGTAGGTGAATCGAGTATAAATAAAGCTATAAGTAAATAAGCCATATGGGAATTCCCCTCCCCTCATTCCATTATTACCTATTGAACTAACCAAATCAAAAATAAATGCACATTGGTTAGAAGACGAAAAAGACCGATTAATCGCATGTAAAGAAAAAACTGGAAAAAAATGTGGCAATCGCTATATAATTGCCATAGCCAAAGCTTTGTAGTTATTTGATTTATAGCAAATTGAATTGGCGATGAAACAATTGGCAAACGATAAAAGATAAAGAATAAGGAAAAGGCCAGAAATAATAGCTAACAAGCAATGTTGGCCAAAGCCCTCACCAGAAAAAAACCTATACACCCGAATGCCAACCAATATGCGCCAATTATTAAATAATATTTGTAAGAAACGGACCTAACAAATGGATAAGCCGTTTCATAGAAATACAAATGAGTATATAGAAACGAGATAATTTTGTATGAACTTATATACTGTGATTATAAAGGTCAGTAATTTTTCTGATTGTTATTCAATTATAGGGTCGAATTTTGTAGAATTAAGAAGTACTTGACATAACGAGTACTAGCTGAACGATTCGGCAAATGTGATTGTTCTCTATTCAAATACGCTCTAATGAAAATGGCTTTAAAAGGAAGGCCTTATGGCTTCTAATTTCTGATGAAAATGGCCTATTGTATCCTCTAATGAAGCTGGCTTTATAACATGTAACCCTCTAACGAAAAAGGCCTTAAAACATGTAATCTCTTACGAAAAAGGCCTTACAACGTGTAATCTCTAACGAAAAAAGCCTTACAACTTGCAATTGCTAACGAAAAAAGCCTCGTAAGAAGTTGTAACCAGTGCAGCAGCCAACCAAACCAGAAATGAACCATTAAAAATGAATGCTATTAACCGAAGAAGAATATCGAGTTGGATCGATCGTATAATTTAATTTATAATGCAATTCCTAATGTTGTTAAACCTTTAAAATACAATAAGAACGAAACAATATTGCAAAAAAATATTTGTAAAATATTTAAAATAATTTTTAATTTTTTTAGTTTTCAATCTGATATTAATTCAGTTTATTATCAAATATCAATATCAATTACAATTAATCAATTTTTTTAAGAGTCTTCACTATTACTGGTTAAACTCGCTCCACTGACTTGTCGCATTGCGCAAATATGCCAGGGAATTGCTTGGCGATAGAAATACAGATGAGTCGCCAGCATCACCCGGATTTGTGGACAGGTTTACTCCAATGGGGAATAGAACCTCAGCTTCGGCACTCAGAATTGAGCAAAAACCCACTGAGCCATTCTATAATTGTAATTAATTATATTATATTAATTATAGTAATTATAGTAATTAATTATAATTTTAGTATAACATCAATTATACTAAAATTAAATATTTGAAATATTGATTTTTTTAAATTAAGAAAACAAAGAAAAAACATATTTAAAAATTCTCTATCAGTGTCATAAGATCACTTTAAATAATTCATTTATTGAATTTATAGAAATTTTTGAAAAATTCAAAAAAAGAATTTTTTTTTAAGGTAAAAAACAAAATTTAAGAATCAAAAAATAATTTTTAACAGTTAAGCAAATTAGTTCGTTCGTTTTTCCAACTATTAAACTATTGGAGTAAATCAATCATGAAAACCAAGACGCTTATCACATTGCACGAGGAAACCTGTTGAGAAATCCAGGTGAAGGCCGCAACTCACCTGAATCTCAATCGCCAACTGACTCCCTGGCGGAGTTTGCCAGCGCGACAAGCTAAGCCAAGCGAGTCCAATCGGTATCATTGGCGCAGTTTGCCAGCGCGACAAGCCAAGCCAAGCCAAGCCAAGCGAGTCCAATCATTGAGCGCTCTAATAAAAAAGGAATCAATCCTCGTCGCTTATCGAAACCGACACGCTTTTTGACAAATCTCTCTCCGTCTCCTTGTCGATGCAAAACGAAAATTATGAGAACTATTTTGAAGAGCAATAAATGAGAATGAGAAGATTAATGCAGTTTAAGCACGAGTATTATTTTAATAAATCTCAACAACAACTTTGCCGAAATAAAACAAAAAGCCTTCAATTCAATCCAAATCATGCGGTTTGTCTCATCTTCGATCGTTGGCTTTTTTTCGCAGTCAAATTCGTCACTTTAAATAGTAACATCATCGGCGTGAAAATCAAAAAATCATGTGCAACGACTCGACTTTCATACTTCAAGCAGCACTATGGTGGCTGAATACGCTTTGGCCACTGCCACTGGCCAACTTCTTTCTCCGACAGTCTCGTTTAAATTTGAAGCAGCACTATGGTGGCTGAATACGCTTTGGCCACTGCCACTGGCCAACTTCTCTACTCAATTGTCCCAATTGAAGAACCACCCTTATCACTCCATACATTCCTACAAATGGATTTAATGTTGCACAATTAAATACGGTTTAATGAGTCGGTCGGTCGTGAAGTTGAAACGAATCTTGACCTATTTCTCTTTATTCTCTATAATTTGCTGAAAAAAAATTGCAAAAAAAAAACTTTAAAATAATTTAACAATTTATTTGTCAATTTTATAAATATAACAAATAATCTCATAGCGTAAGTACAATTTATAAAACTAAAATTCATTTACAAAATATTGCAAAATTTTTTGCGAGAAATGAAAAATATTTGATGCATTTAGGTAATTGTACGAGATTAACGATTTAACCCAAACCTAATCAAAATAACGAATTAACTATGAAAAGATTAAAAGACCAACCAAACGAACAATACAGTCATAACAGTTAAATGACAATAACTGTTTACACTTTATCCGAAATATGCTCCATTCAAACAAGAAAATACAGAAATTCGGTGGAAAAAAATACAAATTTGAATTTTACCACTCCAAGTGAGATTTCTCCTTAAAAGGATAATCTCACCATTAATAAACCAGTTCAATCAGAAATCGCATATAAGAATTAGAAAAAAATTAGTAAAATGTTCCATTTTTTCCAACGTAAATAATAAATAAAAAATTCCAAAGAGTTTGAAAAATACCACGCGAGCAAAAAAATGAAATGAAATAAACATGTAGAAGTATACGCAATGTGGAAATAAAACAAATTGTAATCGATAAATGATGTGGAAACAAATTTATCAATGCATTAAGAAATCATCGATAAAAATTTATAAAAACTTTGGAAAGCTTTAAATAAATCAAATTGGCAAAATGAAATTTTTAAAATACAGATATTACAAGGCAATGTTCCGACCGCCAATACTCACTCCTATCGCACGACGAAATTTATTCTGCTTCGTCCTCGCATTGAATTCTCTTTGTGCACGATCCAATCGCTCGTTTGCGCGACTTTTCGTTGCACCTCGAAATTGTCCTTCAACATTGTTTTTTGGCCTCACAACGTAATCTTTGCCCAACACACGAGGTACACGAGCTCGCATAATAAAACCTTTTTCACCAACTCGAGGCTCATTGTTTTTGTCTGCTTCATTACTAAGAGAGCGCTCGCTGCAGTGAAATCGTATATTAGATGATTAAATCTTAATTACATATTTTTTTAACGTATATAAAAAAACTGACTTTGTCAAAAACATGTTTTCTCTAAACAAAAATGCAAAATCAGAGATTAGTTCATGCAAATACTGTAATGTGGGAAGTGCCTAAAGTATGAGAAGTATAAAACAAAAAATTTCAGCAACGAAACCGAGAAAAAAATCAACCTAAAGAAAAACAGGAAATTGATCATCCTACCATTGCTAATAACTATATCTAATACCTTGCAAATATAATTGTTGCAATCTTTTTGATTTTTTTAATGCTTCTATTTGGAGATTTATTTTCCATAAAATTTTAAAAATTATGATCTTAAATTAAAAAATTACTTCAATCGCTTCCTTTTCGCAGCAGATAACTGTGCATAATCGCGTTGAATACGTTCTTCTTTAGTCATAGAACGAAAATCAGTTTCCAACTGAAAAATTAAATGAATTCCAATAATAACAATAATAAATTCTATTTTAGAAAAAAGTTAAAAAATATAATATAATAATAATTATTGTTCAAAACTAACATGAAATATCGGTCTAGCCCATTCACTAATTAATTTAGCTGCCAGAATTTTATTTTCTTTCGTTTCTTTTGGATGTTTGTAAAGAAGCATCACAGCTTTTCCCAGTCCTGACTGCTTCAATATTCCTTGATCAAGACGATTGTACTCTTGCAAAATTTTCAATAACGTTGTTCTAATTTCCAAGGCTGGTAAAGATTTATCTGGTAGCGGTGCCAACCATTCGGCGACAATGTTTAACATGCCATTGTCTAAAAATATAATCATATATTTATATTCTACTTTTTTTCTAAGCTAACAGAAGAGGTAAACACTCACAAAAAAAATATTTTGCAGAAATAATTTTAACTTAACCAGTCGATAAGAGGAAAATATCGCTCAGTCTACAAATTGCAAATAAAAAACTGGAAAGATAATTTGGATTTCTAAAATGGTTAATAACTAGAGAATGTAAGAACAACTCAAAATACTGCTATACATCAGCCTGAGCATCTTGACGTATAAACAGTGGGCTAGCCGAATCAAAAATGCACAATGATAGAAAAAGGATTAAAATATAGCAAGATTAAAAAAAATGGAAATAACCGATAATATACTCCATTAAATCGTATTTTATCAACAGCGCTTTAACCTGAGGCAATAAAATACGTTTTTGCACAGCAGGTTTTCTGGCAATGTTGCATGATCTATCAGTCTGAAATGTTAAAAACGAAAAAAAATGTTGGAAAATGAATATTTATTTTTTTAAAAAGGGATACAACCAACTTTTGCTGCAACTTTCATGGCATCCATCAAAGATTTAATTTTATCATCATAAATGCCACCCACATCGATGGAACCGTCATGCCGTCTTCTTCTCGGTCGACGACGTTCTGCTTTTTTCTCGCGTAACATTATATCAAAATCCCATTCTTTTCTTAACAAACATCCTCATTATAAGAAATGAGATGAGTTAAAAATAAAGCAAAGCATAGTCCATGGACATTAAAACATACTCAGGTTCATCCTCATCGTTTTTCATCTCATCTTCATCAGCCTAAAATAAAGACAGCAAATAAAAAATAGGTTTAAAAATAAATAAATTAATTAAAATCAAGAATCAACATTTTTTTCTTTTTTTCCCTTTAATCTATAGATTAGCTGAAAAAATGAAATGACAAAGGCAGCGACAAAAAAAAGTTTTTTAAATAGAAAATTTTTCTAAATAGAAAAAACGAAGAAAAGGAAGTTCAGAGCGAAAACTTCTCGACAATGGTTTTCTTTTAGGCTAATTAAGTTTAAAAGTTCAAGCGGAATAAAATAAGTTATTTAAAAATAGCTTAGAAAGCTTTCAGGACCAAGACCATACTTTAAAAGCATAAAGACATATGTATATGCAAACTGGAGTAAATTGAAATTTACTTTGTCCTTGGTAGATAGAACTTTTTCATCATCATCACCATCATCATCATCACTAGCATCACCAAATATATTTGTCATCAGTTCTCCAACGTTCGTTTCTGCCTGTTCGCTATCAGAATCCCTGATAATCCAAATGATGATTATTTATTTCAAAGTAAAACGCAATGAAAAAATTTTGCAAAATTTTGCATAGGTATAGGTCACATAAATTGTTGATTACAAAAAACTAAAAAATCTATAAAATTAAAATCTATAAAATATCTATAAAATTACAATTTCTTTACTGCTTCATCATCACCATCATCATCTTCATTTGTTTCTTCATCACTTGATAATAATAACCGCCGTCGTTTTGATGGACCAGGTTCATCTAAATTAATATTTCTCAATTTCTCAAAAAAATGATGATAAATAAGCCCTTACTTAGAAAAAAGGAAATTTTCGTTTTATCCATGTGAAACTGAAAGCAAAATAAAAACAACGGCTAACCATCGTAATTCTCCATTTCTTTTTGTTGCATGCTTTCATCATCATCATCACTAGAATTTTTCGCTTCGCTATCATTTTCTTCAATTGCCTGATTCCTTTCTTCAGTATTATCTACATTTTCACTATCCGTTTCATTTTCTCCACCAAAATCGGAATGAACAGAACTGATACTTTTTTCTGCTGATTTTTCTCCAACTTCACTAATTTCAACTTCATAATCGCTGAAAAAAATTTATTAAAAATTAATAATGCAGACAAGGGAGATAAAACTTCGATTCCTCCATTAAAGCAATAACTTGCAGTAGTAAATAAATAAATTATTTTAAAAAATCAAAAATCACTTTGATGGAGTTTTTGGCCCATGAAAAGATTCGTCTTGAAGATTGACATTCTCTTCATCATTGGGCGAATTACCGAATATTTCAAACGATACTGACTGAATTAATATTGAAAAAAAATCACCTTTTACAAAATTCACGTGAAAAATAAGCGAATAATGAGAAATAATGAGAAATAATCGGAAAGAAATAAAGTAAAAATTCTACGCTTGAATTCAAGATCTACACACACAACAATGAAATAAAGAGAATATCTCCCTCTATTCAACTTAGATTCGAACAACTGCATTGAATAAATATCTAATTACCAATTTAAAACTTTTTTAATGAATCATCTATCATCAAATTATCTAAATTCTGGCCTCTCAATAATTCGTTCAAAGACATAAGTGCAAAGAGCAGTTAGTGATTTAGCAAAACCAGAAATAAAACTTATATGAAACACAAGGTAAAGGCAAAAAAAAACCTCTTTATTGCACGAAGCTGCATCATCCATATCACCAACGTTATCCACTGGCGACGCATCACTGAAATGTTCATCATTTTTTGTAACTTGGATATTGTCCGTTTTTGCATTTTCATTATCAAATGCATGCATTGAAGGCGACAAAGGTGCACTCTCGTCCATTTGTTTCGGTACTTGGTGGGTACTAAAAATGGAAATGATATTTAAAAGAACGGAGAAAAAAATACACCAAAAATTATGCATAGAGAGTTTTTCAAGAGAAAATTTTTGTAAATTTAAATATTTTTCTATTAAAAAAATATATGTAATCGATTTAATAATTATCAGTAAAATTGTTATCATCATTATTAATACATTAATATTATTATTACTGCTACTACTATTTTTATTATTATTAAAATAAATTCTTTAGTGAATCAAATATAAAATGCTGATGAGAAATTTTATTACTACCAATATTATTACCTATTTTGTTTATTGTTTTATTTTATTATATTACTAATTATTACTATTACCATTATTATTATTATTAATCGTCATTATTATTGTTTTTACGAGGATTATTCTACAAATTAATTGGCAAACCAAATGTAGAAATTCAAACAAATGTAAATTGAGAAATTTTTAAGCAATGCGAGATTAGAGATTAAAAAAAAATAAAAACCACCGAAAAACAATATTTTATTGATTTAATGGATTTAATCCAAAAAAAACTTTTAAAGTTTTTATTAATAAAGAAATAAGCAATTAAAACAATAATTTTAATTAATTTATTTATTAGTTTTAAAAATTTATTTAATAATAATTTTTTGGAATTTAAAGATTTTTTTCTTATCAAAATTATCAAACCGAATGGATCGAAAATGCAAAAATATAAACTTACATTTGTATAAAAAAATATTTATTAACAAATATTTATGCAATTTGCACTTATTAAAATGAAAAAAAACGACAAAGACCGCCGACCCTTTGATTTTCACCAATTATCAAAAACAACTTGGCCATTTGCCATAATTCAAAATTAATTCTTTTTAGGAACATTTTCGTTTCTAACAGCTTTCTTGCCTTTTTTTGGAAAATTTAACTTTTAAATAATTTGTAAGGAGGTACTTACCGAGAGAAGGTGAGTTATTAGTACAAGTGGGGCTTTTAAAAGATTTTCTGCTGGAGAACTCCCTTAGCCATTAAAATTAATGATTAAAATTAAAAACGTTTTAAATAAAAATTTGAAAAATTCCAAATTAAGAAAAATGGAACAAAAGTGAGCCGCAAAATTTTTATCAAATTTCCAAAAAATTGAATAATAAAAATTGAATTTAGAAGAATGAAGAAAAAAAAATTAGATGACCGTGTAGTGGATTCAATGTTTTAAATTAACGATAATCTGTGACCTACGACCTTCCAATTTACAAATTCTTCTATGTTCTCCTTCCGTTTCATCTGCAATGTGCATTTATTAAATTCGGGGTTGCGTTTTTCGTTTTCTTGTGGTATTTTTTGGTGTTTTGTGGTATTTTGTGGTATTTTCAATTTATCGATGGGGTTATTTAGGTGACAAGTTGGTGTATTTCCTTTAATGCGTTTTTCTATCTTTTTTCTCTTCCCATTTTTATTCTTTATAATATTTAATTGCACCATTTTTGATCTCTCTGGTTTCCATCGGTTGGTATGGCGACAAATCGCATTTGCTAGAAAGCTTCTTGGCATATGTAGATAAAAGTAAATTCCAATTAGCTATCCAGAGCTCTCTTAGTGAAATATGTTTGCACAACTGAGAAAATTTATTAGTTTTATTGGTAAACCATTTCTGGTTAGATCAACTAGTCCAGCTGGACCAGACAGATTTCGCCAGAGAGTCATTTGGCAATAGATTTACCAATGAACCACCAATATTACTCGAATTTTCCCCGTAGAGCGGAACTTCGCACTCCAAAATAACAATAATTTAGCCATCCCACTTAGCTTACCCACTTAGCCATCGTAATTTTAATAATAAAGAGTTTTGCATAGATTTTCGCTTTTGTTCCACTGAATTTTTCCAGGTAAATTTGGTAATTTTCTTCTGATAAATGCAATTTTTCAACGGATTTATCGAAATTTGATGGAGAACGCGGTAAATCCAAAAATTTTCTTCGACGTCGACAACGAGATTTGTGCGTGGAAACGTAATTTTGAAAAAGCGTTCGCAGCTGTCGAATCACTTTCTATGAATTGTGATGCGGAGAATTATCAAAGATTGAATCAACTTATTGATATTTATGAAAATATTGAAAAGAAAGCCAGTCGAGAATTCAAGGTCGCTTGTGAATTACTTCAACATCCGACAATCACTTCTTTTAATGAAGTTTTTTCACAAAAGTAAGATTTTAAAATAGGCAGTATAAGCAGTTTTTAAGAAGATAATAGGTGGAATAAATTCTGGCTGAGAAATTGGTACTGCGCCTTTTAATTTCAGATTAAAGGAAGTTGAAGAGAATGAAGAACCAATGGAACGATTCAATGCGTTAAGAAAAATAAAGAACAATGATGATGACGATATGATTGTTGAAAATTTGTTTTATTCAAGGAAGGATCCGTTTACGAAAAAGAATATTGTCCATCCTGTTCGAAATCAAGTGACAATTTATTTATTTACATTCGACTAAAATTAGTTAGTTTATTGAATAATTTATGGAGCTAGCGAAACTTAAAATGGTGCGAACTTTTATAAGCAACGCTTGAACTAATTGATTTATAACAAAAGTGCAATTTTCCAATATTTGTACTACGAAAAATATTTATATATTTCCTTAACGTCTTCAATTATTCTCACTACTGCAGCACTGTAAGCATGTGTATGATAAGGAATCTGTCAAAAAAATGATCAATGAATGTAAAAAGCGACGTCAGTTATGCCAATGTCCTATACAATCGTGTCCAAATAAACGAGTTCTAGTTATGGAAGATATGATTCCTTTTCCTGATTTCTTCAGTCAAATCAATGATTAGTTCGCACTAATTTGAAAAAATTGTTTTTTAAATATGAAAGTTATATGTTACATGAAAGTTTACAACATTTATCAGTTTTTTCAGTTCGATAAAATTTGTAGTGATATTGCATGAATGATGATTTTCGCATGATTTTTCATTAGGCAGTGGTAATTGATAAATGAAATTTTTTATCGTATTGAATAAACCTAATCACTGATAGTAGACTACTTTGTAAATTTCTTTCCGTTTTTTAATTTTACAGCTTTTGAATTTCTAACTTAAACTATCAAAAGTTTAACATTTGTAATCAATTTATTAAACAATAATACTATAGTTTATGGATGTGGTTGCTTCGATCTTTATAGAACACCAGAGGTTCGATTCATTTTCTAGTGCTGGCAGAAGAAGTATCGTTAATAAATCTGGGTGCTGGCCATCCAACTCAACTTCAGTTTCATATTTGAAAGAAATCGCACTGATTAAAACTAGCATAACCAGAAATGTTGGGCATTAGCCGTTTTCCTCAATTTTTTTCACAATTAGCTAATGAATTATATTAAATTTTCCATGAAAATTTGATATGGTGTTTATCACCATTTTAATTAGATATCAACGAAATAAAGTTTCGATGATTTTTAGAAAAGAAATTCAAATGCTAGGGTGATAGGAGCGGCTTATTTGTATTTACAATATTATTTTTTACTACTTAATAAGTAACTGCCTATCAAAATTTACCCGATCCCGTAGGCTAGCTGTACTGTAAATACCTGGCCTGATCTAATGGCACCTGGCCCTATTGAAGCTGTATAAGTTGAAAGGCTGTACTGTTAATTAATGGAATAAATCACCTTATATTATTTTATGAGCAGTTTTAAAAGAAAATTAAATAGTGTTGTTGATAGCACTGATTAATTGCTGTAATATCGGGATTAAAGGATAATTTTTAGCAAATTTAAGCCAAATGATGTTCGGTTGAAATTTCTGTTGAGAGGAAACAATCTGGTGTTCTTTGCTCCTCGTATTTTAACCTTTAACCCAAATCTAGCAATCTAAAAAATTCGATGCTTTCAGCAAAAAAAAATATTTTGAAAATTTAGCTAAGGCACTCTTATCTATCAAAAAAATTTTTTTTCGACTTTTTAAAAATTGCTAAAATTGTTTTTACCAGTTTTTAATGGTTTTATTTGAATGTCATATGAATTGCACATCATTTGGCATCCTTTTGTAAATAAGAGGAATTTTTATTTTATTTTATTAAATTTATTTTATAATTTTATAATTTGCTTTAATCAGATTTGTTCGTAAATTTTATTGGCAATAAATTTTATATTAAATATTTTGGCAAAATTCAATAAAAATTATTTATTTAAAAATTTAAGTTTCGTAAAAATTTTAAAAGAGTACGAATTTCTCGAATTCCTCAATGATTTTCCCATAAATATTTTTTTCACACTCAATTTTGAATTCGAAAGTCTAAAAGATTTTAAAATTTAGAAAGAACTATTTTACAATTATTATTCCAATAATCATTCTAAATTCGGCAAAATAATAATAATGATTAGCCAAGAGAAAATAAGAGAATATTCACTAAAATTTCTTTCCGGGAGAAATGAAACACTATTCAGGTCGTCTCTCTTTGGTATAAACTCATATACTAAGAAAGACAGCCGGACTAATAGAGATCGGTCCAATGGTGTTCCTACCCGTAGCGACCACAAATTTTTTAAGACTGGCCTCTCATTATGTATGTATTATTGCTTTTCGTCTTCCCGTCGTTTTATGAGGCTCCTTTCTAAGAACTCTCCTTGAGGAATAGAAGCGGACAACCATGTTGCTCAACAGTAAAGCCGTAAATTATCAATAAATACGGAAAGAAAGCCACTTCTTGCCATTCCTGAGAATTTTCTCAATGCATTCGACGACATTCAAATTCGCGATTTTTCAAAAAATTATCCATCGGCGAATTCAGTGCCTTCTTCCATAGATTCCTCTGGAACACTGACAACCGCAATCTCATACTCTTTCTTTGCACCAAGTTGTGTTCACCTGTACTTCTATCGCAGAGACTCCCTGGGCATTCTTTTGCGACGGAGCGAGTCTCAGTAATCAGTAATGGGGGGAGGGGGTTCTTAAAAAGAACTGATAGTTCCAATTTTAGACTCTTTTCTTGATGTCGATTTAAGAATTTTTCTCTCAGATGTCTCTGATTTGAATTACTCAAAATGTTACAGAACGTTTTAGCTAACCGATCAACCGGCCAACTCTCACATTTCATCGTTAAAGAAGCCAACTCGGATTGGAATTCTTGAGTTGAATTTAGGCATTTTAATCTGCCACTGGATTCGCACTGGCAACATCCTCTAACCTTTTTTAGTACCATATCCAAAAATAAAATTTGGCTAAACCAATTCAATCAATAATTTAAGAAAACATAATTTTAGCGATGAGTAAAATGGATAAATATACATAATCAGAGGCCTAGTGAAAGTGAAATGTTAATCTGCTTCCGTTGCGCACAACAATACTATTTTTTGCTGTCGTCGAAAGTCGTCTGTCTCATCGATTCGCAAACATCCAAACCGTCGCAAAAAAAGCGCATTCAATGTTTAATATCGTTCAAGCAATAATTTATACGGTTCGTGTAGACCTTATCAAAATCACTTATTCCTTATCATATCACACGTTATCAATTAACTAGTTAATCAGTTGATATCGACACAAACATGCATCCACCTGAAGAATTATCGCCACCGTAAATAAAACTCCAAGCGAATTCTCGTTTAGGTTGTTGGCTATGTAGTAAAATTCAGCTTCAGCTGCGGTTTCATTTTTTGCCAAAACGAATTTTGAAAATATCTTAAAAGTTTAAAGGGAAAAAGAAAAGCTTATTATATTTATAAATTTTTTTTTTGGAGGTTTTCTAAATTTATTTTATTTAATTTTTCTAAATTTGCACGAAATTTTTCCACTTATTTTTCATGAAAAGCAGAAATTTTATTTGAAATTCTTTCAGTCTTTTTTTATAAAACAAATTTTCTTTTCTCTTGCAAATGCGAATTACTTTTTTTCGAATTTTATAAATAACAATGGCAGTTGTGTTTCTATTTTTCTATTAATTCGAGGCTTACATTCGCATAATTTTGAGTTTCGCTTTTCGAAACCTTTTTGCGGAATTTTCCGAACGTATCTATGAGCGTTGCCGCCCGAGGTGATCGATTTTCGCTCTACGTGACTTTTCCCACGTTTAATCCACGTTTTGCAGTAACACAGTATTTGCTAGTTATGCTCTAACGATTCAATATTTTGTTATCTAACTTTATTGTAAATTTTAAAAAGCCAAGGATCGGAAAATCCGGAAAAGAAAGATTTTTTCGATTCAGTTTTGCGGAGCGCTTTTCCCCTTTGCATTTATCTTTATCAAAAGTTGACGTTAATTAGGTTTGATTTATTGGATAATTTTTTAAAAATATGAAATATTAGCGTTGATAAAATTCGTTCTATTCTCGATTCACGTTTAATTTGTAAAACTTTTTTATTTTCAATTTTTCTCTAATTCTTTTCCAAAATTTTCACAAATCTTATAGATTCTATCGGAAAATTTCAGTGACGCAATTCGCAATCGCGCAATTCGAAATCAAATGCTAAATTCGTTGCGCAGATTCGCTAAAGCTGTATAAAAATAAAAGTAACGTGGAGGTGATTTTGTTGGAATTTTAGAAAAAAAACAACACAAAAGCACTTTTCGAATTTCTATGGAATTGTTTTTTTTGTGCAAAAATAATGAAAATTGTAGGAAAAATGAAAAATTGAATTTTTTTTTTTTTGATTTTTGGTTATTTAAACAAAAATTGATTGTTTTAGCTGTTGCCAGTTTTTCTTCAAATATTCTTCTAATATTGATTTATCAATTTGATTTGACCTATGACCTGGGTAACCACGAATTTATTATTATTTTCAATTTTGATCAATCATTCATTCACCTTTACATTGTGGGCAGTGTTGATTGTAAGGTTTGACTTTGCTGCATCAAGAAAAAAACATGAAATTCTCATTTTTTCAGATCATGAAGAATTTTTAATGCGACACTGCGGTTAAAATTTTTGTGATGGTTATTTCGGAAGAATATGCTGATTTTATTTGTGGCTGTGGTGCTGGCTGTTTAGAAACTATTTTATTATATCCGCAAAGTAAACTCATTTTTAGGCAGCAACTTCATGGTGTTTTTGCTAGAGAAGCGATAAGACAGGTTGTTCCTTTTTTTATTCATTTTTTAAAGAACTTTTCGAATATTTTCCAAAACTCGGAGAATTATACATTTTTTTCTAGAGACTCATTTCTAAAAAAATCTAATAATTTATGTCTTACCTTGATAATAGGTTAAAGCGTTATTAAAAGAAAGATTAATTGATGGGTAATTGATTAATTGATTTTAAAATCTAAGCTTTTATCATGGCTTATAACGAGGCCATTTTTATGGCTATTTTTGGCTTGAAAAATTATAATCAATGATTTTTCTTTTTTTTTCTTATTTAGAAAAGAATTCTAGCTAAGGAACGAAGGGTTTGCAAGATTATACAGAGGGTTACTACCACCTCTTATAATGAGAGCGACTTCCCGATCCTTAATGTTTGGAATATTTGGGAATTTAGAAGGATATTTCGAATGCAAGAAATACTCGTCGAGGGCTACATTTACTGCTTGTTATTCATCGGCTGCCATTCTCGGTTGGATTTTTTTAGTTAAATTGTTTATTTTATATCCACAAAATACGATTTTATAATAAAAAATATTTCAAAATTTAATAAGGTTTGAAAGTGTGGGTAAAGCATTATTTTAAAATTGGTGGATCGGCTTATCTCATTTCATCAAATAATAATTTCTTTATTATATCTTTTTTCTTTATTTATAAAATTTTGTAAAATATTTTAAATATTTATTTTTCTTTATCGCTCTAAAAGCTACTAGAATGCATTAGCGTTCTGATTGCGCAGTAAATGTATCCTAAATTTTTAGCTGGTTCAGCTGAAGCAATTTTGTGTCCATTAGAACGTGTGCAAGTACTTTTGCAGTCTGCTCATTATCATGAACGTTTTTATAATACGGGTCATGCATTAAAAGAAGTTTCTAAGGTTATTTACTTATATTTTTTATTCATTTTAAGATCATTTTATATTTTCTTTTCAGGCAAAATTTTTACTATTTTATTTCTAGTTTATATTCTGTTACATATTGTTATTGTTATTTCTTCTTTTTATTCGAATTTTTGATTTTGGTTTGAAAATGGTTTTTTCAAAATATTCATAAAAATTCATGCGATCGATCATTGTTTTTTTAACTTTTAGCTTTTTCTTAGATTTGCTTTTTTTATGCCTCTTTTTTATGTAAATAAAATTTTTTCTAATTATTCTTTTTAATAATTATATATTGTTAAGCTAGGTCTTCGTGAACTATATAGAGGATTATCTGTTGTTTTAATTAGGAACGGATTTGGTAATGCGCTTTTTTTTAATCTTCGTGAACCGATAAGAAATGCTGTTTTATCGCTTGATGAAAAATTTGTCTGCAAACATGAAAGGTAATTGTTATTAATTTTCGTGTGTAATGGCTGATATGCGGTGTGCCAACCTATTTTTTCCTTAAAGAATTAGAGTATATCCAAGAAACTGTATTTTACTTCGCATTTTTCATTTTTTTTTGCTGGTTTCATTCGATTGATTTGAGGACAGTAATTTCATCATCGCAATCTTAGCTAAAATCATCGTTTATTTACAGGATCCCCATGTCATTCATAAGATTTTTTGCTGATTTTGTCTCAGGTGCCGTACTTGGTTCTTCAATTTCAACCCTTCTTTTTCCGCTCAATGTGGTGAAGCAGCGAATGCAAAGTACGCTTAATACGCCATTGCTCTCAGCACGTACCATTTTTAAAATTGTTTGGAGAGAGCGAAATGGCTCAATCAGAGGTCTTTTTCGAGGAGTTCATTTAAATTATACAAGGTTATGGTTTTCGAGATCGATTTATGAAAAATTTTTTTTAGATTCTTATTTCATTTGCGATTTTGAAAATTTTGATATATCTACTTAATTTCGTTTTTTATAAAATTGAAAAATTTCTTGAAGGCATGGAGTTTAATGTGATACTAACTAAAAATGGTTTAGTTCATTTAATATCATTTTTTATAAAGTTTCTGAAAAAAGCCAGATTGTTCCAGGTCTTTAATTACATGGGGCATCGCTAATTCAGTTTACGAATTTTTGCGGCGTTGGTTCTAGCGCTTTGTAAATTGTCCTATTGATCATACGGGTTTGGCTTTAAGTGAAGTTTTACTTTCGGTTTAATTTTTTTAAAAAGCCCTTTTTTTGAATTTCTTTTTTTGAACATTTCTGTTCTATTTCTATTTAACCATTTTCATTTTTTATTATTTTAAATTTCATTGAATTTATACCGCTAACTGAATGTATAACTAAAATATTTCATAGGCTTCATAAATGGTGGAGAGCGACGAATTTTTAAGAAAAATTCGGTTTTGCAAACGAAAAAAGTTTCAGTGCGATTTTTTTTACATTTTTATTATATTTTTGTTTGTAATGTAAAGGTAATATTTTATTTTAGTAAATCTGCCAAGAAAATTTACCTGTGATGTATGTCTTTAGCCAATCATTTATGTTATGAAATAGAACATAAGTGAAGTTTTAATTATATAGAAATCTTACTATTATAATATTATTAAAAAACATTTTTGAATACAAAATTATGCAATGTTATGTTTTTCATCTTTTCTTAATACTTTTATCACTGGTTTTAGAAATTCAATGATATCAGATTTATCAAACTTTAATACAGAGGATAAAAAATAATTTTAAATATATTTCTGGGTATAAAATTGATTTAAACTACATTTAAGAGAAAAAATTAGAAATAGAAATGGTTCAAGTAATTTAATATTTAAGTGAAATGAATAATAGACTGTAATTTTAGTTATGAAAGAAATTTGCCTAAAACATTAATTAAGTAATGAGTTAATCATTTCTGATAAAGGAACTTTTTGGCAGGGAATCAGAAATCTTCCAGACAGAAATATCGATGGGTTGTACGAAGTGCCAGATTATTGCAAATATAGGATTTTTTTAATGAAATGATCTTGCACGAGATGATCGGGACTGAAATCTGGTCCCCCAGTATCGCATTTGTCTGCACCTTACAAAATTTGTTTCATATTTTTTATAGATTTGAGATTTATGCGATTTTTAGAGCTCATTGAGCAGTTTTTATGATTTTCTCTAGATAATTCGATATAAATGAATTAAGCAAAGAGCGACACCATGCTGTGCTCCTCTTTCCGAATAATATTCTTCACCGATTAAAATGTCCTACGAAATTTTTATATAATTTTATTTTGTTCACTTTATTATCGCTCGATAATCATTTAATCTACATCATCAAACTGGTATATGAACGCGATTTATATGTTAAAACAAGCTTTTGAATGATTCCAGCGGTTGCCCAGCTCATTTGACGTTTTTTTTTTCTGGTTTTAATAGTTCATTGGGTAGGTTTAGATTTTTACAATTATTTAATAATCGAATAAGCGAATTATACGATTTGTCACCAACGAATTAAGCGATTTGTTACCAACAGATTTGTAATTTTCAATTGTTAATTATGGTCGAACAACGATGTAAAAAAGTTTTTGAAGTGTTCTTATTCAAATCCTTATTTTTTCTAAAGAGATTTATTGAGAATTTAATAAATATTTAATAAATTTATTAAAATAAATATTACAAAAGATTGAAAAAATTTAATAGTAAAATATTCAATGGAATAAAATCGAAAGGAAACTAAAAACAATTTTTGTTTTAAATTGTTTTAGATTTTTACGGTTATTTTTCATTATTTTTGTTATTAATATTTTATTGATAATTTATCAAATCACTTCAATTTTGTTACAATAGTCATAATCAATGAACCGACTCGATTCTTACCACAGGTTTAAAGCATACCAAAAATAAGGGTATTTCGTCAAATATCATTTTTGTCACTTTATCACCTATTCAGCTGTTCCTTATCACTAAAAATGGAGTGACACTGAAAATTAACAAATTAACTCCTCAGAAGCTCCTTAATGAAGAGGCTTAATTTCTTAGATACCTTCCTAACTGGAAATGGTAAATTTAGAGAAACAGCTGAAGATGGGCAAATTCGTTGAATGAATTTTCTGTATCGAAAAATCACTAACAAAATTAAAAAATTAATTTTTTTTAGGGATGAAAACGACTACAAAAGGCCAATTCTTATTAATTGGATTGACATACTTATAAGAAAAAGTCTTCTCGCATCATAGAATTTAACTATCATAAATTTATTTTAAATATAAATTAAATATGAATTTATTAAATTAGAATGCTGGCAATAAGGCGATAATTTTTAGCGGATTTAACATACTCAGTCTTCCATTTTATGGTACCGACCTTGGCTCTAAATCAATTAAAATTAAAAAGCAAGTTATTTCTAGCGTCGCACCGGGCAGCTTGGAGACGTCTTACCCTTATAGCCAGCGGAACCAGCATAGCTAGTAATGATGAGGGCTGTTAGAAGACGAAGAAAAAGCAAGCTTAAAAAGTTGATTGAAAGAGATGATTACATATTAATCGTTGATAATGAGGAATGTTTACTTGATTCAGAAGGATAGAATAGTCGAATGGCACGTTTTCCTGATTCTTATCAATTGAAGGATGTAAAGTCTGATGCTAAAGACCCATTTATATCTCTTTCCTCAGCGACTCCTTATCTCAATAGCAAGCCTATCCGTCTTATGCCATATTTTAAATTAATTGAAGCCATTCTTTTTTCGAATGTATCGATTATGAGGGGTTTTATTCATATCGATTATGAGGAGTTTTAAATTGTTTTCATCTACCTTAACTTGATAATCTTTAGTAACAAAGCTAAGCAAATAGTTAAGTGCCACAGGATTAAACCTTATCAGGGAATAAACCTCGAATATGGTTGTCTTCGATAAGAATTCGTCATCGAATCAACAGCCAATGGAACGAATCTAACCAAAAATGATAAGCGCTAACCGTTTATTCCTGAACGGTTCCATGTTCCATTTAAAATATTCTTGAAAATGCTTGACAAAATTTTCTTTCTTAATATTTAATATTTTGTTTAATAGTTTCTATGGATACAAATCGAAATTTTCTCAAATTTATCTCAATTTTTTTCTATTTTCATTCCAAAAGAAATTTTTCTCAATGAATTTTCACGTTGATTAACTAAGAATCTAAAAACAAAAACTGAAAAAATCAACGATTTTTTATTCATATTTTTCTTAAAAAATTTTTGAAAATTTTTGATTTAAAAAGAAACTTTTTTTTTTCTGAATTTTAATTTTTATAAAAATTTTTTCCGTCGATCCAATACATATATTTTGATAAATTATTTTTAATTTAAAAATTTTGATTCGAATTCTTTTTATATATTTATAATTATTATTTCTTAATAATAAATAATAAATTATTCTGAGATCGCATTTCTTCACCTATCGTATTTCCAATGTTATTCATCCATCATCGAATTTCATTCATATTCATCAACTATTATTGAACCGTTTCAATATATATACTGTTGGGAACAGTTAATAATACGCAGAACCATAGATCTCCCAGGTCTCTGGTAAAGAATCCGAGGTTGAGGGTGATCCTTACTATTCACTGGAAGGTTTTTTGGAAATTCACCGAAATTCATCGATTATCATCGATTCAAAGATGGGTACAAAATGGATTATCAGTATTATTCGGATAAAAGTTAATAAAAGTTTGGTCTTGTTGAAAGCAAGCATTGACGCTAAAAAATGCAATCTGAACAACAACCACTGTGCTATCCTTCCTGTTAGGGGTACTTCTGCAGTTAAATATATCAAATCTTTCTGGTCTTGTTGAATATTCGATATATTGAATTGTCTACAGTTTTTTTCTGATTTAGCTAAAAATTTAATTATTATTCAAATGGGACCTTGAATTGATTAAAATAAATAATTCGATGATAAATGATAATTCACTGATAAATTCTTTTTGTTGATCTTAATTTAATTCAAAATTTCTATTGATCTTTTGCAAAAATTTTATCAAGTTGAGCACATTGCATTAAAGAAAAAATTGAATTTTCACTGACCTTGAACCATTACTTTGGCTCACTTTTTGTTGTCGTTTTGCATTTTCAATTGAAATAATTCAATATGAAAAAAAAAATTCTTATACGAATAATTTTGGGCAGAAAACTATAGCTAAAATAGTTTGATAGGCGAGAATGGTACTTTTATTGAAAGTGGAATGATTTCTGGAAACCTTTAAAAGAACGGAGAGTTTTGAATGTTAAAAATAAAGATTGACTTTGATTAGGGTTTTATTAAAGTGTTCATCGTTCAAAATATAAAGAGATTTGCCCAGTTTTAACATTTTCCAGAAAACAGGTTGATTAAGGCTTTGTCGCATTGACGAAATTAAATTAAATGATCATCATAATGCTCACCATTTCTGATTTGGGTCGCTGTGTTGGCGTTGGGATTATAATTTTTGGTAGGAGTTCTCTTGGATGCAGAAGTAGAGGTAGTTTGCCAATAATACATGCATTTCTTAATAAAAAGATTTCGCTCCCGGTAGAGTCGAGGACCGAACACTCGACTAGGCGGCTTCATTCTATTTAGAAGCCTACTTATTATTATTTGTCACCTCTATTATCAAATGTTTGATTTTCTCACCAGTATATTTGTATTTAAATCTCTATGGCATCAAATTTAGAGGGAGCACACAGTGGAACTAATATAATATTAATGCCTTTTGTTTCTGCCCTGTGGCCATTTTTTATGGTTCATGTTTCATCACTTTTGATGATATTTATTTTTAAATTTTTCCTTCACATATTTCCAAGTTTTTCAGTTCCATACTTTAAATTTTAAACTTTTCTTATTCCATCATTTCTGGAATTTCTCAAGGATTTTGTTTGAACAATTCTCTTAAGAACATTATTATTGCATTTTCCACTTTTTAGCCCCTCTTTAAATAGTGCTCGTCATTTTTCACTAGCTGTTAGTATAATGAGAAGTTTTTGCTAAAGAACCACTTAAGGATAGAAATATCTGCTGATTTCCAGTGGCAATCTTTAATTTGAAAAAAAGAAAACTTATAAATCTGTATTTCTTTGATTAAAAATTTTAGAGTAATGGAGTAATAATGAAGTAATTATAATAAGTAATTTTAAAGGGTAAACAAAATATTTTGAGTAATTCGGGAAATTCAATAATGCTTTAATCAAATAGTGAAATAATAATAATAATAATTGCTATATTATTGCTATAAAATATTATGTAAACAAAGTTTTATGATCATGCAAACTTTATACGTTTCCCATGAGAATTATTCCTCTTCTTCGTTCCTTCGAAAAATTTGCTCATCAAATTTTTCAAATGACAAATTTTCTTCTTAAAATTACTTTTTTATTTGTTTCCAATACATACAATAAACTTATTTCATGATTATTTCTTTTAATTTATTAACTTTCTTTATTTCCTTATTTATTTATTTATTCGTACTCAATATGAGATATAAATGGGTCAGCGAGTCGTTGACTTCATCCCGGAGCATCAATATTGGGGTTCTGCTCCTCGCATAAGTGCAGTCTCCTTAAACACTTGGGTAATGCTGGTAGCTCGATTTTGTGGCCAAGTAGGCCAAGTAATTTTCTGACGAAATGGAGCTGGTTTGATTGTGCTAGTCTGGTCGAAAATGATGAGTACTGTTTGAAAAAAATCCAAGAACTTTTTCTTACACATAATGAATGATATAATAGGAGAATTATTTCATGATTACTTACGCATTTAACAATAATGTACTATTTATTGCTATTTGTTCAAAATTATAAATTTGTCGCTGAAACAAGAAGCTCTCATAGAATTTTTTCTAAAGTCTTTCTTTCCAGTGGGTGCTAATCATGAAAATAAGATAATCAAGATAGTTCAAATATTTCACTTCATTTGAGAACTTGTAATTCGACTCGCTTGACAGGTAACCATAAATGGTGCTTGATGCATCCATATATGCCTTTTCCCTATTCCCAAATGGTTCTCTGGCAAAACGATCTCCTTTCCATTTCAATTATCCTTTTAATCTACAACAAAACATTTTTTCTAACAGCATTCCCAGCTAGGCTTCTTTTTTTCTAAAAGCTTTTACCATTTCTCCGGTTCTTCGATTAGGCTCTTTCCGGTTTTTTGGGTTAGATTTTGTCTGGAAAGCATTTGGCAGTAGAATTCAAGTAGATCATAAAACTATATTTTGAAGATAACTTTACTCCTGCCGAAAATAAAATTAAAAAGCCCAACACTGATGCTCCGAAATAAAACCAACATCCCACACCGAGCTTTTCTGCCTACAGGCGACTGGCCGATTAAGTCGTCACATCCAATCAGGCAATGGAGCCAACCAAATTACATGGTAATTGCTCATGAAAAGTTCATGGCCTTCCTCATTTACTGACTATTCTTAACTTGTAGAGAAACCTATGAGGCATTTATTAAAATGGGGAAATGACTCATAAAGACTAGAAATTTTCTCCATCTCATGTTTCTACTCAACTTCGGTTCAAAGAAAGGCATTAGTAATAAGTAATAAGTAAAGCAGTCAAGTAATTCCACCATCTTAGATAAAATCTTGCATGTGGTTTCATCCTATGAATTTCGCTCTACTTTTACCTATAATGTGTAATTTATTTGCCACGAAAGAATTCGTACAGTAATCTTTTTTTTTATTTCCTTCATTAATTTTTTTCTCGGTAATTTTAATTTTAAAATATGAATGGATTTGGCCGATTGTTGTTTTTTATATCACAAAAATTCGGTTTAGTGAGTGAAAAGTAATATTTAATTTCACAAATTAAATTTTCACCTCAAATGTTTTCAATTAATTTTGGCAACATCACAGCGAATTTTTTATTCACAGTCGACGTGTAACATACTGTAAATGCATTTTGAATTTCTGACTGCATCGTGTCCTTTCGGCCTTTTTTTGGTGCATTTATATTGATGACCTCTAATGACCTCATTCATTGCTTATAGACAGGGCATAAAGCTTTGTGCTGCTTTTAATGAAAATATTCCTCTTCGATATAATTTTTTAAAAAAGTTTTCAACTGCAGTTCCCGTCAAATGTATTTATCGTAATGGCTCAGTGGGTTGTTGCTCAATTCGGAACTTCGATGCTGAGGTTCCACTTGCCATAGGAGTAAGCCCGTCTAAAAAACCTGGCGATGCTGGCAATTCACCTGCATTTCTATCGCCAAGAGACTTCTTGAAATATTTAGCACGACAAGCCAGCTAAATGAGTCTAACCAGTAACGGTGAGGACCCTTTAAAAAAAAAATTGTCGTAAATTATTAAATCATTGGTGCAATAATTTGAAAGAAACTGTTATAATAAAATTTCTGGAAGAATTTCAGTCATCGTAAAATACATTTCTTTTATTTACGAAAGAAAAATTCTCTATTGTCCGAAATTTTTAATAAAAAATTTCACCATCTTTGAGTGGCTTCGTTTGCTTATTTTTTCCAATTTTTATTAATATAAATATTAGAAAATTTATTTTTTCAATTCTTTTTTAAGTTAAATGACAATATTCACAAATTGCAATTCGACATTCGTTAAAATTTTATTTCTCTAAATTAATGAAATTTATTTATTCAGTTGTTAGTTGCATTAATAATGCTAACCATTGCATAAATATTTATTCAATAAATACATCGTTGATCATGCAAATTGCTTCTTTTATACGTTTTAATAATTTCGATACAATTTAATAATTTCGATAATTTTTATTCGATTAATTTTTTAATTTTTCTTTTTATTTATCG